GGGACAGGACGGTGCCCTGGGGGACACCGGCCTCCATGGGACGGGTGGTGGAAAGGGAATCTTGGATTTGGATGCGGAATTTTCGGTGGTGTAGGTAGGATTTTATGAGTTTGGTAAAGGATATGGGATATTGGTTGGTGAGCATTTTCATCAGTAGGCCTTCATGCCAAACCGTATCGAAGGCCTTTGCGACGTCCAGGAAGACAGCACCAGTGTACTGTCCCCTGTTGAAGGCCGCCGTGATGTGCTCGGTAAGGCGAAGGATTTGGAGTTCAGTGGAGTGATTGGGTCGGAAGGCGAACTGCTCGTCTGGAATGACTTGCAGTTCTTGGGAGTGGGTTCTTAGACGGGTTAGGATAATTTTTTCTACCACTTTGCTCATAGCCGGGAGCAGGCTAATGGGCCGGTAGTTGGATGGGATGGTGTGATCTTTGTTGGGTTTTGGGATAAGGATTATGTTTGCTGTTTTCCAGCGGGTAGGGAAGTGTCTTAGTCTGAGTGTCGCGTTTGTTATGTTTAGTAGGGCCATGAGGCCCTTGTGTGGTAGTCGTTTAAGTGTCGTGTTATGTATATTGTCGGGTCCGGGGGCTTTTCTGTTTTTAAGTCTGCGTATTGTCAGTCTTAGTTCGTCAGGTGTTGCGGGGGGGATTATGTCATTGTCTGGCTCTCTGTCGACGCGTCGGGCCGCGCGCTCAGCCACTATCTCGAATTCCTCGTCTTCGTCGGGCAGCTGAGGCAGTCTACACTGCAGTTCCAGGCTATCGGCGAAAGCCTCGGCCTTTTCCTGGTTCGTGTAAACCACCCCCACACTACCGTGGATTGGAGGAATTTTACGGCGAGCGGTCTGTCGCAGGGCCCTCTGCGTTTTCCAGAGGCTGTTGTCTTGTGGATCCAGCGACTCCAGGTGCCTAGCCCAGTTATCCTGGGCCAGTTCATCCAGAGCCGCCTTCACCCGTCTGTTAAGTACGTTTAAGTCATGTCTGTGTCGGGGGAGGCGGGTGCGGGTGGCAAGCCGTTTCGCACGTCGTCTGTCACGTATTAAGTTTTTTATGTCATCGGGGAGGGTGCCCCGGGGGTTTGTCAGTCGGGGGACAATAGTCTCCGTCGTAGTCTGAGTCAGGGCGTTTTTAATGTCAGTCTCAAGGGAGAGGATTGCCGCCTCCAGATCATGGGTGGTTTCGATGACTGGGAGCGCCATGTTTCCTTGCATTACTGTTCGGAAACGCTCCAGTCAGTGAACCTCCTCGTGAAGGTGCCTTCATATCTTCTGTCTTCGCCCCAGATCCAGAAAATTGGATTGTGGGCGGAAGACCCTTCGTATTGGGTGGATATTTGGGCATTTAACGGTATAGATTTTAAGAGGGCAATGTCGATAACGTCGGGGCGTCCTACGGGTCCGTAATGTGTCGGTTCTGTCGAACATGGACCATGATTGTAGCTAACCAGACAAGGCTGTATCAAAGAGAATAAACTAATTAGTTTATTCTCTTTGGCTGTATTTTATTTATTTGTGATCTCTGTTAATCTCACATTATTAATTGACTAAAGTAACATTCAAGAATAACTGAGATTAGCTAAGAACACAGGTTACAGAATAAGACAGATTAGATAGAGTACAGTAGATTAACTCAATAATGTTTTATTTACCTTAGGGCCAAATTTTTAAAGCATGTTTATTTTACAATTAACTAACTAGAAGATTAGAATGTGTTGGCATTGTATATTTTAATTGTACAAATCACATTCTAAGCTTGTAGTTAGTTAACAAGTTAACTATAAATTAAATTTGCTTTGATAATTTGGTCCTTAGATCTCAACTAATCTGTTACTACGAAAGCTGATTGATCAATTAGGAGAAATTAACTGAATTGTTCCGATGTAGAATAACGTATAAATAACTCAAAACGAAGTTTGGACTAATAATTTGTGATGAATATTTTTCATTTATAAAAAGGGAATAACCAACAAAGGTCACTATATACTTTAGTTCTGGTATAGGTTTTTGGTTTTCTAAAGCGTGGATATAATTGTGGCACTGTCAGTTATTTTATATATTTCAGAATTAATTGTACGAACTTTATATTTAAATTAAGGTGGTCAAAATAGAAAAAAAGCCTATGTTGAAATACGCAAAAACGAGGTGTTGAAATTTGAAAAATAATTATTAATATTTTCTGAAATATTTCAATCAGTACAGTTCGAATTATTTTTATATTAATCAAAATATATTGCAAATAATTCCCAATACTTTATAATCTTAATTTTTTAAAATTTTTATCCGTTAGTGTCGCAGGAGTTGATGTAATAATAGATAAAATATGAGAACTAGTTCTAGTAGTATTTAGATTAGACTAACAAGATTTAAGATAGTGCTAACTATCATTGGTTCAACAAATTCAGAAATCCAAAAAATTCACTTGATTCGTTTGTCCCAAAAAATTAAGTGTTTTAGTTCTTAATATGCTGTATAGACTGTATATTAAAGAAAATACAATAAAAAAATTGTTCTGTAAAGGAAACATTTTTGATTCAATTGACAGTTGCATTGTGCATTGAATTTCTGTTTTGAGTGTATATTCAATATAGCTATTAATATTCAATCTTTGTTTTAAGGCAAAAATTTCATCACAGTATTAATTAGATATAATATATCAAACAAAAAAACAATATTTGAATTTTTAATGCCCGTTTATTGAAAAATATTGTTTACAAATCTCAACAAAATAAATTACAAAAAATACTTTTAATGACAAAAATAAATAAAAGTAACAAATCAAAAATGATTAAAAATATATATAAAACAAATATAAATCTTTACTGCCCATCTCAAATTCAAAACAAAGTATTCAGGATAAAGGTGAAGATTTTAAAAGTAGCATGTATGAAGCATGGGTTTATAACCTACTAACTAGGGAGTACCAAATTTGTGATTGTTCTCCGTTAATCTCTTTCATTGTAGGAAGTGCATCACAGCTGCATTTTGAAAAAAAATATATCAGAAACACATACCTACACAGGGGTATCTGCAACAGTTTGATAAATTGGAACAAATTTGCTTTTATTTACTTATTTATATAAGTACTACAAATATGTAAGCACTTGCAATGATGAATTCCTAAAAATTTAGCATGGGTGTAGCTAGGGGCGACTGGGGTGTGCACGGCCCACTCCAGAAAAAAAAAAGATTCAATAATATCATCTTTCTTAGATACTTAGAGTGTTTAGGTTTTGAAATATCATATCGGTAAGTTGTTTTTTTTTTTTGGAGGCTTTCTGATAGAGCTTGCAGCAGCCCTGGGCCCACCCCAAACAAAAATCCTAGCTATGCCCATGGGGAAAAGATACAGTAATTAAAAAAAATACCTGATGAAAAATACTTTGAGTTGAAAAAATAACAGAGAAATAGATATTCAAACCACAACCACAATGAAGCAATCGAGAACATCTAGAGAATGAAATTAATTTCTTCCAACAACAGATGTTCTACAGTACAAATACTGTATATATGGTCTTATACTTATTCCTTTATAAAAGTACTTGGAAATATATCTAAATAAACTGCATTTCCTCATTTTTTCTAAATGTTTTTTTTGACATAATAGTCCAACCAAATTACACTTGGAGAAAACAAAAATTGTTACCTGGACTTTTATATGTGGAAATGGTAAAAATAAACCTAAAAAAAATAAATGCGTGAGCAGGGGTGGCGAAGGGTTGATTTGGGGAGTTGAAAAATTATGAAAAATTGCATCATTGGGATTTCTGGCGAAAGTTGACATCAAACAAAAAAGTATCCAGTACAAAAGTTGTCATGCAAAAATCTACAACTTTTAAAAGTTTTTTCGGATTTTTCGTTTTTTATTACTCATTTCCATAAAAATAAATTAATTTTGGCAAAACTTGGTGAAAGTATACCTTTCTGTGTCTTAAATAATCACAAATTTTTTTAGATAAAAGGGATATTCATTTTTTCTTGTCTGAAACACTTTTTTTCCAAAAAAAGATTCTACTTAGAAAAGTCATCGTACAGAGTTCTGCCGGTGATCTTTTTTTTCGTTTTGACATACACTTTTTGGTGAAATAAAAAATCTGTAATCACAGTTCAAAAACATGCTCAAGAATGCAAAAAGAAAATAAAAAATAACTTGCAACAATGAATTTTTCAGTAATTGTTCATAATTTGTTAAATTAAAAAAAATTCAATAACCGATTACACCATTCAATACTACGGAAAAAAATACAAAAAAAAAACTGTGTCTCATTGTTTGACCCAAAACTTTATTTTTGTACAGTATTTGCTATAAACATCTAAGTCGAACTATAAATGCACAAATGATAAATTATCTCTGGATGATTTGAGATTTCAGCAATACAAAGTATTAACTGCAAAGTCTTACTGTTGACGCAAAACCCAAAAATCCAAAATTTTGCAAAATCGTTTTTATTTTTTTTCAGTCTTTATTTGAAAACGAATTTGAAAATAAATTGCATATTTACATTGCTACTTTTTTCGCTTTATCCAATGGCATCAACATTTTTGCAATCCGACATTTCGTCTTCGAGGGGCCATCATCAGGTTAATTTTTTTAAATACATCGCTGCTATTTTTATGACAAAATCTAGTCATTTTTAATTCTGAATTAGATGATATTACTATTGTAATCACTTAACATCAACAATTACTGAAAAATTCATTGTTGTAAGTAATTTTTTATCTTTTTTGCATTTTTGAGCATGTTTTTGAACTGCAAATACAGATTTTTTTATTTCACCAAAAAGTATGTCAAAACGAAAAAAATGATCACCGGCAGAACTCTGTATGATGATTTTTCTAAGCAGAATTTTTCTTTGAAAAAAAAGTGTTTCTGACTGAAAAAAATGAGTATCTCAGAAACTTCTAGATTTTTTTTATCTAAAAATATTTGTGGTTATTTAAGACACAGAAAGGTATATTTTCACCAAATTTGGTAACAATTAAATTACTTTTGCGCAAATGAGGAATAAAAAAACGAAAAATCAGAAAAAACTTGTTTTTCGCATTTTTCTCGGAAATTTTGAGGTTATCTTAAAAAGTGACCCCTTTAAAAGGTGTAGATTTTTACACGATCTACAACTTTTGTATTGGATACTTTTTTGTTTGACGTCAACTTTCGCCATAATTCTCAATGATACAATTTTTCAACACCCCAAATCAACCCACCACGCATTTATTTTTTTTCGTTTATTATAAGCCCCTTTACCATTTCCACTTATAAAAGTACAGGTAACAATTTTCTTTTTTTTTTCCCTTTAAATGAGTTATTTCTATCGGACTATAACTAGTCTTAGCAATTTTTAGATGAAACAAGAAACACATCTATTCTCTATCTATCTATCTATTCTCAAGTACTCTGCTAAAGGTTTTATATGAACCGCATATATTTTTATTCAGAATATCCTTATCCTTAGGTAAAATAATAAATGCATTTTCAATGCCTAACAAAAATAAAAACAATCAAGAGATCGTGCAGAGCATCTTACAATTAAAGCTGTTTTATAAATATTTATTAATACTACATTTTCAGGAGAAAAATTGACTAGATTATGCTGCAAAATACTGGTTCGTATATTAACCTAAAATTGTGCTAAAAGTTAAGCTTGAATAAATATATATATATATAATATATAAAGAATACTCATTATATGGCTTCAATTTCAAAATCTTGCATTATTCTGAAAATTAAAAAATGTCACATTAATTTACCCTTATAGTTAATGTAACTTACTCATGATCATGATTATTATCAAAATAATTATAATCTAAATCCGTATCTGCAATTATTTCTGATTCTGGGGGTTCATTAAGATCTAAAAGAAAAAAACATATCATAAATAAAATAATATCTTAAATCTCATTTTTTACACATTAACATTTAAATCAAAATAAATTATTTGCGAAGTTCAGTGATAACGATGTTCAAGGGATAGTGAACTCATATCGTGTGACGTACTAAGCAAAATGGTGAACAGAAGTACATGGCAAGACACAATCAATCATTAAAAGCAAAGTCGTGACAATCAAACTCCATATATTCGAGAAAAATGAAAATCATGGATAAAACAGTGAAAACTATAAAACAAAAATAAAAAATTGTTGGCTATGAAACCCAGCATATATATTTGAATATGTCCATTAATGTATTAAAAATGCACTATACCGATTCTGAATACAATCAAATATATTTACCAGACAAAGGAGGCACTACAGCAGTACTTAAATATTCAGTGTTCAGATAAGGTGGTAATTCATCCTCCTCTTCTTCTTCTTCCATACCCAATTGCTGCGAATCTACCATTTGCAACCACTGCGCATTGTGGTGACGGAACTTCTCAATGCGTATTCTATCTGCCCAAGTCTTACTATGGTCAGCAATTATATTAAGGCATGTGTTGCAAATTTTCCTTATCGATTTATTATTGTCTTGGAGTAAGTCAATTAAATAGGCTGGTGCCTCTGAAATATATTTTTAAGGTAACTTCATAATTAAAATTTCAAGTTCATGAAACAGAAAAAGGTTAATTACAAAGAATTTAATTACCTGTATTGGTAACTATGTAATCAATATTAGTCTCGTGTGATAGAGTTACAAAAAATACATAAACTATTTGAAGGACTATTTCATCGTCCTCTTGATGGGTTTTTAATAAATCTATTAAAAGATTTAGTATGTGTGTCTCACAAAATAGCTTTGCACAGCCTTCATCAGATGCTGCTGTTCCCAGTAACACAACAACCTACAAAATTGTCTCCTCATGAACCCACATTTAAATAAATTACAAGAAAATTGATACAATTTTTTAAAAATACGCTTTTTGAAAAATAAATGGAAATGTTGGCTAAATTTTAATACTAATAGATTAAATAATTAAGTCCAGATACATATCTGGACTTAATTTACAATTAAAAACAAAACCAATATTTATAAAAGAAAAACCCGAACAAGGTAAATTCTATAAATTTTTATGTTAAATACCTTTGCAACAAAATTATCAAAGGACCCCGCCGGAATCCTTATGTAAATTGGTTTTCGGTCAAATGGTTTGATACCAGGTGGTTTTTGTAGCTTTTGAGTGGTAGATTGAAAGTGTCAATGGACGTCAAGCCCTAAAAATTCATAGTTCAAAGTTGCAACCCGCTGAAGCTACAATGCTTTAGATTTCACTACCTGCATAATATAGTAAAAAAAGACTACATTTTTGCTCAATACCCAATAAACTATCGCCGATATATCGAGATATCTGACTGAAAGGGTTTTAAAATGATATTGAGATGATCTTTCAGATCACGATCAGTACAATCGATTTTTCACAATCATTATCGTACAATAAAAATCATAGCGATTGCCGTCTGCATTAGCGTGACCTGATCGGATTTAGCACATCATGGGATTCATCGAAGTACCTTATATTTTTTCGAAGTCACTCATAGCCTAAAAACCAAAAATGCAGGCAATACGAGCGCATGTGCTTAAAGCCCAGTCACCAGATAAACAGATGTGCAATAACATCTTATATCGTTCATTTGTATGCTCGTCAACAAACTCTTTATCATTTTTCCTCTCGATTTTATCGCCATCTAGTTGTTTCTGGCTTAAAGTTCGGCAAGTCGCAGCAGCATGCATAAAATATTATGTTGCTTTTAGTGGCTCGAAGTGAATGCTGCATTTTCAAAATAAAATGCATAAAGTAACAACTTTATGCATAAAACCAATATGTAATCTTGAAATAGGATTAAGCAATTAACTATTGTTTACGTTTTTAAAAACATTTATCCATCAATACCTTTACAAAAGTACGAGAAACTTCATTTAATACTTTTGATTAATCGATTGATTGATTCAAAAGTACGTTCTGGTGAAATAATGTAAAAAAATGTTAATCTTTTCAAATATATTAACACGTTGACTGCGAGATAATCTCAATGTACTTTGTCCGTGACTGCGATACATATCTTCGGGGATATGTAACAAAACTTCTTCTGTGTGCGGTACATATCCCTGGGGATATGTAATTTTTTTACATTTGACCCTATAAAATTAAAAATAACACAATTATTGCTATAAACTTGCATGTATCTGTAACTATATATCCTAGGATACTAACGTTTTCATTCGCAAAGAGTTTTGAAAAGAAAATAATAGAAAAATCATTATTTCTAAAAACTACAGATTCTGCAACTTCCACAAGATACAGTAAAAATGTGATTATTGAGATTCACATATTTTTTATAATGAGTACATACCCCCGAGATATGTACCGCAGTCAACGTGTTAAGGACGTTCGATACACCTCTTGCGGGGCGGGCGGTGCGGAGAGTATGCCTATGTTTATACACGGGAGTATTGTTGCAGTACCAACCTTACATAAATTAATTTCAGCGAACTAAGTATGCTACTTAGAATGAAATTTATACAACACATATTAGCTTGCATATTTTTTTCGTGTTTAATACACGTCAGTTCACTTTTTATTTGAATAAAAGCGTCTATTTATTCATTACGAGCTTGTAAAATTATGGATGAAATCTGGCAACATTGCCATGGCGTGGTGGTAAAAGTTGGGTCAACTGTCATTATTGTCAACTTTGCGCGAATTCCGGAAACATGAATGAACAACCAAAGTACAAAGGAAAAGTAATGACTGAAAAGTAATATAAAATGAGTGTAAAACAGAATGTGGATTGATGAGAAAAAAATAAAATGTGCAAACCGAGAATCTATATGATAACTATCAAGAAGTTCAATGTATGATAGTGAGACGTCGACTTGTCAAATTGAAGATTATGACATAACATCTATACTGTTCGTTTTGCAAAGAGATCCTTTTAATTTTTGTTTCAAATTGCTAGTATATTGCTTTAGATCACGAAAAATTTATTTAATATTAATTATTACCAAATATATTTTCGACTGGAATAATTTGTAACCGAGCTATTCAAATATAACGCATCAGTAGAAGCATTAAATACAGCGTACAGTGTTGCCATATTTCCTTTCATTGGATCAGATGTTTGTTCAAATTTGTCAAAACGTTATCTATTCATTCCATTATCTCAATAATTACATTGTAAGTGCATATTTTTATTGTTTTAAAATGTTTAGTAATATTTAATTCTTTAATTACAATTTTATTTTCCCGATCCTAACCATTTTTAAAGGCAATATTCACGTTTGACTAAAGTTTTTTCCCAACTCCCATAAGAGCCTGTGTAAAAGAGCAAAATTTTTAAAATCATTTTTCAAAAAAACTACGTTGTCAATCGATCTGATATTTTTACACAAGTCAGTTTGCATATTTATTAACAGATTTCAATTGCTTTGAAAACATTCTTACCATTTTTCTTTTGGTATCGAACCTCCTTAAATGATAGCTTAATACTTTTATGCAAAAAGTAACATTTTATTTCAAAAACGCAGTATTCGTTTCGAGCCACTAAAAGCAACATAATATTTTATGCATGCTGCTGCGACTTGCCAAACTTTAAGCCAGAAACAACTAGATGACGATAAGTTCGCGAGGAAAAATGATACAAATGAATGGAATAAGATGTTATTGCACATGTTTATCTGGTGACTGGACTTTAGGCACATGTGCTCGTATTGCCTGCATTTTTGGTTTTTAGGCTACAAGCGGCTTCGAAATAATATCAAGTACACCGATGAATCCCATGATGTGCTAAGTCCGATCTACAGCAACCTTTCCGTAGTACACATCGGGTCACACATCGGGCAACCGCTATGATTTTTATTGTACGATAATGATTGTGAAAAATTGATTGTACTGAATCTGAAAGGTCATCTCAATATTGTTTTTAACCCTTTCAGTCAGATATCTCGATATATCGGCGATAGTTTATTGGGCATTGAGCAAAAATGTAGTATTTTTTTACGATACTATGCAGGTAGTGAAATCTAAAGCATTGTAGCTTCAGCGAGCTGCAACTTTGAACCTAGGGCTTGACGCCCATTGACACTTTTAATCTACCACTCAAAAGCTACAAAAACCACCTGGTTTCAAATCAATTGACCGAAAACCAATTTACATAAGGATTACGGCGGGGTCCTTTGGAAATACATTTCTTGAAATTATTTGAGAATTTTATAATGCGAAAAACATTAACTCCATTTATAATATTGCAGATGTGAACTTTGAAAAACATATTTTAGAAGTCAAAAATAAAAGGACCAGTTAAAAAAATTTTTATTTCGACATTGAAAGAGCGACCCAAATTTTCGCCCCTTTGTGAGACCTCATAAATTTACTCCAAATGTGTGCCAAAAGATAGTCTATGATGAGACTTGAATCGTCTATAAGTTTTAGCTTGAGGCTGCATTTTGTTTTCAAGATACGGTTGATTAAAGTTGTCATTTTTACATGGATTGTTATAGGGTTTTCAAAGTCGCTGATTTAAAATCAAAGGTTCGTTAATCTCTATGACTTCTGATTCTGGGAAAGGTCTTCAGAAACCTTTCCCAGAAAGGTTGACGAAATCATTGATTTAAAATCAAAGGTTCTTTAATCTCTATGACTACAGGTCATTTGGAAGTCAAAGAATTAATCTTGGATTGTTAGTTTATTATGTTATATGAGCAGGATATATCGCCAATTTGCAGGAAGTATGTAAGTCTCTAATTTCAATTCAGTAGTTGGTTGACCTGTATCACGTCAGATTCAAGCTCAATTGAGGGATTAATAACAAAACCATGAAAAAAAAAATGTGTAATAATCACAAATTCCTAACCTATCTTCGAAATTCTTCATTTTTCTGAAGCTTTTCAGTCATTTCATGAAGACTGAAGGGTGATGAAGCAATTCTATTAGCAAATTCGTGCTCAGCGCGAAAAAGTACTTCGGAATACATATGGCACATGTGAAGTACAAGCGATTTTTTTTTAGCGGTGTAACCTCGATCCAACAATCCATGTAAAAATGACAACTTTAATCAACCGAAACTCGAAAACGAAATGTAGTCTCAAGCTAAAACTTATAGACGATTCAAGTCTCATCATAGACTATCTTTTGGCACACATTTGGAGTAAATTTACGAGGTCTCACAAAGGGGCGAAAAATTAGGCTTTTTTTCGGTCGCTCTTTAAATTCAATCAAAATATATGAATGATATTAGAACTTTGTCAATAATCCTCAAATTTTAAAAAAATTTATTATTTTTAATTTTGGCTTCAACAACATCAATGTATACTAAAAACTAAAAAATTGCCCAGTATAAAGGCTGTTACAAATTCGCTTCTCACTACAACATTATACCTCTAAAAAATCAGTGATTAGTTTTCGAAATCTTTGAAAAAAAACCTAAATTTTGGAAATCCGTTTTTGTTTCATTTCAGCCTTGTTTGAGGTTTGAGGTGAGCCTTAGTTGAGGTTGAAAAAAGAAGAACACTTTCTCATGGACATTTTTTTCCCTCTATCGAATGGCATAATCAATTTCTATATGTAACGTTTTGTCTTTCCAAGACCATCATCAAATTCATTTTTTTAAATACGACCCAGGAAATTTTATTACATTTTTTGCAAGCCTTCATGACCCTCAATACTGTACTGCCTCAGCCCGAACCAGATTCAGATGTTTTGTCTCGAAAAATTCATCTTCAGTGTGTTTGTTCCAATTTATCTAAATTTTTTATTTAGATCTATGTTTATTGAATTATCATACACTGTAAGTGTCGTTGGACCCGTGAAATCCATCTAGTTATTTAAACTATTACCACCACGCGTTACAATAAAACATTTTATTATTATCAGCTATTGCCATCACTTGGTCATACATGACTCGATAAGCTGTTGCGTCAAAATTAAAACATTATTACTATTTTAATTTTATTATGACAAATTAATTCTTAAAAGTGCATATGAACAACCAAAATGCCAACTGAATATTATTCTTTAAAAAATTTCAGTAAATGTTTAAAAACATTTTCGTTTTAGCATCAGTGTAATATTATCGGAATTTATTATACCTGTCACCGCAACTGTGAAAGAGCATGTCAGATGTATTTGTATGAATACCGAGAAATTAAAAAATTGATCGGAATTTGTTTGAATTTTGAGCACTCGAGAAGCCTAGAAATACCTATTGGCAAAGGATTAAAACTCTAATTTTATTGTGACGTGTGGTGGTAATAGTTTAAATAATTAGATAGATTTCACAGGGTCTAACGACACTTACAGTTTACGATAATTTAATACACATAGAAATCTGAATAAAAAATTTAGATAAATTTGAAACAAATAACTGAAGATGAATGTTTCGAGACAAAATGTCTGATTTTGGTTCGGGCTGAGTATTGAGGGTCATGAAGGCTTGCAAAAAATGTCATAAAATTTCTAGGGTTGTATTTAAAAGAATGAAGTTGATGATGGTCCTGGAAAGATGAAAAGTTACATATAAAAATTGATTATGCCATTCGATAGAGGGCAAAAAGTGACCATGAGAAAGTGTTTTTCTTTTTTCAATATCACCTCAACCAAGGCTGAAATGAAACAAAAACGGACTTCCAAAATTTAGGTTTTTTTCAGATCTTTCCAAAACTAATCATGTTAGCCTTGATTTTTTAGACATAATGTTGGTCCCCTGATTACGCAACTTTGCCCCTATTTAAGCCAGTTCATATCTCTTATCGTTTTCGAGATCTCTGTAGTGAGAAATAAATTTGTAACAGCTTGTATATATCCTGGTTGTTTTATTAAACCATAAAAAAACAGTCACTACTGACATACAAATGTGTAACATTTAACGTCTGACTCGAGGGCGTGCAATAATACTTTTGAAAATAAGATTTTTTCAACCTACAAAAAGATTTTGTTAATTAATATAGCATGATAATTCGAGGAAAATGCTGTTTCCTCACATTGAACAACATACATAATTCGTAACTAAAGAAGAGGCCAACCAAGCTAATACTTTGTGAATATTTCAAGTACAGTTTGAGGAAGCTCTATCCTTACTAAAACATGTATCTACAAAACTCACAATTTCCGAAGAATTGAATTGAAGAACTTTTGAGAATAATTAACACATATTGAACACCATTGTTGATTTTAGGAACATAAACCCTGGCTAATGAATCAGAAACATTTTCATCCTTAATGACAACGCTAAACATAATGCAGTTATCGTAACGTATGGCCAAAATGGGAGCAAATTGCCTGAATGCCATTTATTTCCAGATAACTATCAACTATCAATTTTTTGGATTTATTATATATATATATATATCATATCATATCATATTTTACACACAGCGTATTAGTATATTTTATAGTAAATTAATTAAAAAATACATCATTTTTGAAATTTGAAAATGGACAATTAATATAATTAAATTTTCTGAAAATTCCAGGTTTTCTACTTTTTTAAATTGGTTATATTCCGTTGAAGGTACCTGTTAAAAAAATAAGATGTTACCTGTAAAACCAATTCAGCCTCAGTATTATTACTGCTAAGAATATTTTTCACCCATTTTATCATATCAAAATGTTTAAATATTTCTGCCCAATCGAGATCTGGTAGATGCAAATTACTTAAAATTCCAATACATTCCCTTACGAAATCCTCATCTTTAGATTCCACCACTGCCTTCGCAATATCGCCAACAAATTCCTTATTAAAAAGAAAATTAAAACAATTTCTACTTGATAATCTAGTTTACTTACAATGAATGATGGTGCTGAAGCATGGTTGTCTGAAATATTACGTAACATTTTCATAAGCATTGCATCCTGATAGGTAAAAGCGCGCATCATCAATGACTGAAGTCGATTCTTTTTGGTAATATGTTGGGTATTAGAGGAATCTGTCGCAAGATTTATACATAGAGCTACCATTGTTTTATCACCTTCATTACCAACATTTAAGAGCAACATGTCTGTTATCTGAAAGATAGAAGTGCACTATGAATATTTAGACTTGTTTTAATAATTTTTATGTACAGACAACATACTCTAAACAGTGAACATACACCTTATATTTACTATGTTAGTATCTATGATTGTCCTATAAACATTTTTTAATCAACTGAAATGTTGCACTTACCAAACCTATGCAGTCCACAAAGTGATGTTTTATATCATCTTCGTAGCTCAAGTGATATAGTATTTTTAATACTACTTCTTGGTGTCTATCGTCACCTAAAATAAATTTTAAGGATGTGAAAGTAAAAATGTACGCACTACGCATACTTACTTAACAGACTCATAATTTTTGGTAACAAACCAGCCTTTATTATTTTATATCTAATTTTGGTATCAAAAGATAAGTTATATAATAGTTTTAAGGCTAAATGGACTAGATCAGCACTGTTAGATTCCAACATTCTTGGTAACTTATCAACTACATTTAAACTGACCATGGCATCTTTATTGCATTGCATTATGGAAAGCTTTTTAAGGAACGTTACGACTAGAATAAGTAAATCATCATTATCTCTATCGAGAGCTTTAACTAATAAACCGACGATATTTCTCTTCGACATTTTCTCTTCCACTGCTTCATCCTCAGAGATATTAAGCAACAAATAATAAGCCACCCTAAGAAGATGTTCCTGCTTCCTGACCAAAGTACGGAATCTCTTAACTTTTTGCTCTTCAGTCAATTTTTTATCATCGATGCATTCCATAGAAGTAGTGAGGTCATCATAGACGCTACCTTCCATTACAGCTTTTATGTTAGTCTCAGTAAAATTACCAGACTTTGGACGTACAGGTTCCGGAATGCGGCTTCGGGGAATCTCAGTCATACTTGCGCTACTGGGACAAGGTTTACGAACAATTGGTATATCAGAAGGAGCCTCCACTCCCTCAAAATCTGCTTTCCAACGATCATAACGTCTCAATTCGTAATCAATTATGTCCATACATATAGAACCAACCTTAAAATAATTTTAAATCTAAATATTCTTCTACATTTTTCACCCATGAAGCATAGAATTTTTTTTTTAATTTAAAAAAATGATAAGTGACATACATAGATCTAATAACTATTAGATCTATGGTGACATACAAATCACATGAATTTCTATGCATGTCGAATTTGACATTAAAACGGAAATATTGGAAAATATCATAGAAAATATAATCACAAAGCATAAACAATATAGTGGTAACTGGATTAGTATACAATATAAAAATTGTATTTTTTGCAAATGTAGTGTATGCTTATACGACATTTAGACCCGGTATTTTGAGACTTGGTTAAGACTTGATTAACTAATCAAACGATTAGACTGTGAATATACTATTATAAAATAAATCAATATATGTTCAGTCTAATCATGTGATTACTTAACCAAGGCTTAACCGAGACTCAAAGTATCGGGTCTTAGAGATTTAATTTATTATAACTTAGCAAAATTTTAATTTTAAATTTAATTTAACTATTATTTTTGGTGTTTCATTTCATACTGTACAGAATTTTCTAGACAGAAGATGTTCCATTACTATTATCTAATAACTTATAATCTGCTCAGGACTTCACATCCTTGCCGACTTTAATCACAGTTTTTTTTCAAAAACGGTGCCTCAGCGATATTCAACAAGTATACCTTTTATGCTAAAAAATCATTGAAAATTTGAAAAACATTATTTATTTCCGCTTTACACAGTGGTGTAACATTTACTTTTTAGAAAAGGGTCTCAAAAATATAGTTTGCACGCCACCGGTTTTTTGTATTGACATGAAATCGCAGCAATGATAAGGTCCCTGTTAAAACTCCTCATATCAAATTAGAAAAAAATTCCTTAACGTATCTACGAGATATACCTGAAAATCGTATTTATTTTTTCAACTTCAACACCCTGTATCTCGAAAACTAAGCGTTTATGAGCAACATTGTATATGACTTTTCCCCATTAATTTTTGTCGTAGAATTTAGTGGTAAAGTTTGGCCCATCTTTAACGGACACTTTGTATACATATAAAGTACAATGAAAAAAAAAATATGAACAAAAGTAGTAATAAGTCTTTATAATTTATAATGTTAGTTCTACACTTTGTACAAAAAATAATGAGGAAATTTTAAAAGCAAATTTAACTATAGTAATTTTGTTTGGTAATTGCTAAATAAATCATACTCTGTTTGATCAAGACTCAATAGCCATTAAAAGGATTGTGTAAATATTAATGAGAATGTCACAGAACTTTCGTCATTTATAGTAGAAATTGACGAGTTTTCCGCTAAAAACTAATATAAACAAGGCATAAGATTCAATATAGAATTTCGTAAATTCATGTCATAAAATGTAAAAAAAATATAATTATGATTAACATTTTTGATATTTAAAACATTTGTTTGTCAATTAATACCCAATTTCATGCTTGACTAGTTGAATGCTTTATGGTTTCCACATCAATTATTTCATTATATGTTGAAAATCCTATTTCAACATCATTAAATTAAATAACCTTCAGCTGAGTAAGACTTTCAATTTTTTTTGCCCAAAGTAAATAGCTCACCACGGACACTTTTACATTACATTTACACATTCATCACACATGCCTAATTTGTTAATTACATAATAAATATTCAATGTGTATATTGCTCAAAACATCCGTTTCCTTTCGAACGTGTATATGGAGATGAATACATTTCTTTATTGTACTATATTATGCTTCATACCATTTATTATTACATTACTAATTGATCACTAATTTGAATCCAAGTATTTAACATAATATATAACTAAAGATAAACTTACTTTACATTTCAAAATTACTTCGTGGAAGCATGAATACATGGAAAAGCAGAAAAATGTAAATACCAAGTGTGTACTCAATGCAATGCTCCTTTTCCAATCTTCTCTCAGTACCCGACCCAGAGCACTTATCAAAGTTTCTAAAAAACATAGTATCTTAGATTTTTAGTTAAATATTTAATTAGTATTACCATTTCTTGATAACGCTTCCAAGTTTTCTGGATCCCTTGCTAGAAATTGAATCAAATGAGCCCCTCTAATTTTTTCAGCCATACCTTCATACAATAAGTCAATATAATCAGATAAGTTATTATAATTTGCTTCCTGTACACCATTTTGGATCTTATCGTTAATATTCTTGTCTCCATCACCTAATAAGGATGGGGCACCTAAATATAAATATTAATCAATTATAGTGACAACCTCTATTCAACTAGGGTAAAATATTTAAATACAAAATTGCATAGAAATAAATAAAAAACTAATGCTTTATTAAAATGAATATTAATTTATTAATTAACAAATTAATATATGCATTATCGACACTTGTTCTTTTTTAATATTAAGTATTATTATCATTAATCGATACTATTTAACTTATAAAATAATACTTTTAAAAGACCGATGATAATTTTTTATTGATCAAAAGATAAGAATTCCTTGAAAACAACTAATTAGAATATTACATTAATTTAGATAAAGTGAAATCATTATCTTATATTAGAAACAAGGTGAAAAAATAAGAGACCTTGTAGCAAGAATATTTGTTAATTAGATATTATTGATATCAAACATTTATCTTTCTATTGAGGACCTGTAGGGCATACATTAAATGTATTATAACATGGTTTATTGATAATGAGATAAGAAACCTTGGGATACACTAATATTAATATATTTAATTAGCTTCTTTATTCACATCCGATATATTTTTTTATTGAAATAATGAATCCATCTTAAAATATTTATTTTGATAAATTCTCACTAAGATTACAAATTCTAAAAAAAAGTATGACTAAAAACATATATTGGCAAGTTATTTTTAGTTTCAAATGATGAATATAGGTATTTTAATAATATGAATTACCTTTAACACCACTGTGTAGTTTTCTTTTCTTCAAATAGTATATTATTTGTTCAACTTCTGCGAGTCTGGAATGATGTATCAAATCACAAACATTAACAACTTCTTTTGATAGAGCATGGCAGTCGGTCCTACTGTTGATCATAGGCAATTCTATTATTTTTTTAAGGCTCTAAAAATATTTAATTATAATTACATTCTAATTTCAAATTGGAGGTTGAGCACCTTTTTTTCTCCGTGAATAACGTTTTCTTTAGGACCAAGGATATGTACATCTATTTCGTAATTTAAGACTATAGCGTCAATATTAGGATGTACATCTATAGAACCTGGTTTTCGCTCCCTACAATGGAATGAGTAATCGACAAGTATTATTAAATAAATAAATTACTTACGTCCGCATATACTTAGCATCTTCTGGTTCCATTTCGTAGAATAAACTGCAACTATAAATAATTAAATAGTACGTACGAGTAAAAATCACCAACAACACGACTAATAATGCATTAAATACAATAAATTCTATTACCATCAAATTATTAAACTAAAATTTGTGCATTATTTTTAATTTTGTTTGTTTGACAGTGATATTGGTATTTAAACTAAATCGGTAAGTAATGACCTTTTTTACCGACATAATCAATACATATTGCTAATTTCCCCTTCCAGTTTAATTTCTCCCCTTCCCTTATTTTTTTACAAAAGCGTAGCTTTGTCTCTATTATATATTTTGTGCACATACTTCTATCTACTTTGGATAGAAGTATGTGATTTTGTGGCTTTGTCTTTCCGTCTTTGTCTATGGTTTTGTCCTTTGTGGCGTAGCTTATAATAAGTCATGGAGACTATACACAAGGAGGACCACAGAATAGAGTTTTCGTATATAAGTATTTAATCTATAAATAGAGTATGGAATATAGATGAATAGAGACAAACAATCTCTGGGCAGACGAACTCCATGTAAACAGATATCTTGCCCAATTAGGTGTAGTTTGAATTAAAAATCAATCATGACATTTTTGTGATGTGATAAAAATTTTAAAATAAATAATGTAGGCTACTTTGAATTAGATAGATAAATTAATAGATAATAAAAACATGTCGGTGTACAAATAACACTAGCGACGCTAGCGGCAAAAACTATAAGTAATTTCTACTATTACCACATTCTCTCTCTCTCTAAAACCATAAGACTGACAAAGATAAAGATAGTGATCGGAGCACTCGAAGTGAATTTTCGAAAACGCCTAATATGTGTTAATACATTGAAAATTTTCATAGACCATAAACTAATACTATAATAGGTCTATGAAAATGTTGTCAATTTTCCCGTTTCCCGTACGAGCTCGTGCTTCTTGTGTAGTCCATATATATATAATTTATTTCTATATTATTTCTCTATATTTCGATCTTCTCTCCTACTCGCTCCTAAAATAAAGACGATGAAAGATTTTGGCTACAATCATATTTATTTTATCAGTTAAAGTAACCTTGTTATTGTTTCCTATTCATGTTTTAATTTTCAACTATTTTTTGTTATCGTCTCGGAATAAAAAAAATATTCTCTAATATTTTCAGTAATCAAAATTAAAAAAATATAAATTAATTGAAATTAGTTATTAGATTAGATATGGTGTACCCAACAGTAAGCAAGTTAATATAATTAGAGCTTCGCTCATCCAGAGTATGACGTATTAGTAACATCTGGTAAAAACCGAACGAAATGGCTCTTACTGTTTTGTAACTACATATATGCCGCCTGATAAATTTAAATATTTATTTCTTCCCGCGCCCATTGCTGAATGGTCGAGTCTGGATCTACATATGTGTGTGTTGTAACCACGTGACCTTCAACATCCAATTGTGCATGAGTAAAGCGAATAGACATTATCTCAAGGTCAAAATGGATTGGATGTTGATGGTCACGTGGTTACAACGATCCGTTATCGCGCATGCATGTGGATTCAGGCCAGGCTATGTCCCACCTTCCTGGTTTGAATATAAAAATAAAAGAAAAAATATATAGAAACTGTTATCAATATAAAAATATATTATTTAATGCTGTTAATAAGTTTGCTTTTAAATTACTTACCTATATAACAATAAGAAAAAAATTAATATATGCAATTATATAAAATCGAATTAACCTCCTCACTTCAATTTATAATTATTTTTTGTACCTGTTACAATTATATATTATACCTACATATACAAAAAAGAAAAGTAATTATGTAGGTATTAAGTTTTTATTTTCACAACTACGGTGACACACCTTGAACCAATTCCATAAAGTAAATAGTTACACAGTAAACTAATCTTCTAAACCTATCTTTTTAAAATACTTAGTCTTATTTAAACCTTTTTAAAATACCTAAATAATAAGATAAGGTGATGCAGTTACCTTATCTCTTTATTGTTTAAACTTAACATCTGATTTTATTAATTTCATAACTGGCAGTTAATTCAGTATATTTTATTTTAGGAAAAAACATGAATAAAAATAATAGCAAAAGAATTATAATCGACGTAGATGCAGGAACCGATGACTATCTTGCCTTGTTACTACTTTTATATGGCGAAAGAAATGGTAAAGTTAAAATAGAAGCTATTTGTTGTTCAATGGGTAACACTTCTCTTGAAAATGTGGTGAAAAATGTAGTACGATTGCTTGAAACTGTAGGTAGAACAGATGTGAGTATAAAACAGTTTTGCAGAAATATGTTAAAAATTCCATATAATCAGGGTAATTCTTTAGAGTAGATAAAAGATTTAAAGCTGAACTCAACTAGGGTTGTCAGATTTTTGTTTTTGCAAAGCGGGACATTGCTCTACAATCATTTTGAGAATAGATTTGAGTATTTGAAATATAAACACCCCATAGTTTTTAAGGAATATAATAAGATAGTAAGAATAAAAAAAATATATGAAAGTAAACATTCTTTATATAAAAAAAAAACATTTTCAAACATAGAAAATGACAAAATATCTATGCAAAATTTCAGGGCACATTTCTAGTTTTTATTACATGTACTAATTTCTGACCTGCAGTTGAGGACAAAAGTCTTCAAATTCGAGATTTGACAATTGTATTAAATTGTATTTTCAATTATGCCTCCACAAAGCGGGACATATTAAATAAAATCGTAACGTCTGGCAACCCTAGCTCAAAGTGCCTTCTATGAGAATGATTCATATCTTTAAATTTTTATTTTTATTTTTAAATTTGTGTTTGTAAATTGAACAATTACTAAATTAAGGAATAAATATAATTTCAGATTCCTGTTTATAAAGGAGCCAATAAACAGCTTATACTTCCTAAACATCCAGTTGATCAATTTCATGGTAAAGACGGTTTTGGTGATTTACACCATGATAAAGATCCGGATTTATCCTTAGTGGAGCAGATTCCAGTTTCCATTGCATTACACCATATAATCAGTAGTAATCCCAATGAAATATATTTAATTTGTGTGGGTCCTCTAACAAATTTAGCTTTAGCTTTAAAATTATATGATGACTTATATTCTAAAATTAAAGAAGTCTGGATAATGGGAGGTAATGTGACGGGTATGTATCTAATCGTTCATATTAATGTAATGTAATGTCAAATGTGTAATGATTTCTGATAACATTATAATAATTTATAAGCCAGACTGCAGAATATATTAATTTCAGCCGTTGGAAATGTAACTTCAGCTGCAGAATATAATTTTTACATCGATCCAGAGGCAGCTTACATAACACTTGAATGCTTAAAATGTCCTATTTTTATTCTCCCTTGGGAACCATGTTTACTGCCACAAATTCCTTTTGTAAGTAAATTACAACCAGCAGATTTCCATTTAAAAAATTTTTATTTTAGGAATGGAGATACAATGTTTTGTCCGATAAAACCCCAGAAATGGAACTCTTAACCAGAGCGGAAAAAAAAATTTATGCAAATAATTTTAAATTCTGGTTACCTTGCGATGCTTTTCTCGTTTTTTGTTTTCTGAATCCTAAAAAACACATCATTAAGCAAAGTATTCATCATGCGACCGTGGAATTATATAGTTCATACACCAGAGGTCAAGTTGTTTTAGATCATTTAAAAAACAAATTGCCTAATGTAACTATCGTTGAAATGCTTGATGGTGAATTGTTTAAGGAATATATTCTAAAAGCTACCTCTTCATAATGATATAAAACTATGTTTAAATAAAATATTTTTATTAGCTTGTTTTAACAACTTCTTATCAAACAATGGTATGTAGGAAAAAGAAGAGAAATATTTTAAAGCACATTTTTCCTTCCTTGATAAGTGGAATATATTAAATCTGAAAATGAATTTCATTCTGTTGTAAATAGACTAAGTAGACAATATTAACATCTACTTTTGACAATGTTGATGGATAGTTTCATTACAATATTTGCCTATCATTCTTTGGTTAAGAAACATTTTGAATTACTGCAATAATTTATACATACTTATCTAAGTGCTGTATGTGCACATAAATTTTTTTACTGTACTATATTATAAATATATGCGGCTTAATTTAAACATGCATAATATATAAAATAGACAAAGAAAAAAATGTTGGCAAATGTAAAAAAAATAAACATATTACTCATACATATGCAGCATCAAATATGTGTACCTATCTAAATATTATATGCCCAAACCACACCACACTCTAAAATGCTATTAATTCAGATCTTAAGGGCAATTTTTAGCATAAATGGAATGAAATTTCAGGTCAAAGGAGCATACACTGTATAATTTTATAAAATGTGTTGTAAATAGGAAAGCCCAGTGAATTTATATAAAAAACTAAGAACCATATTTTATAATTACAGAAGAACTATTTTTACTAGAATTCTAGAGTAATTATAATTTATATTTAACAACTTTTATGTCGTCATAAAGTATTGCATTAAATAAACTTTTATATTTAAAAATATTGCAATTTACTGACACAGCCTTCACATAGTTACTTATTTTATAATGGTATTATTTAGTTTACACATTTTCTATTTAATACATTTAAAACATTCAAATGACATTATTCTGCAATATTAACATGAAATTAGATGTTTGTTTATCAAATAACCCCTACTACGGTCGGATAATTGAAGTTCTACTGTTCCTCTTTCATTTCCATGATGTATAATTTAATAACAATAATTAAAAACCATTTATAGCAAAATAAAACACTTGTAATATGACTCTCACATTATTTAAAATCACAAATTATGCCTACACTATTTACACTAAAGGAACTATTAACAAACGACTTCCTATAATGTTTAAATGTATAAGGAATGTATATTCCAACTATTCATCTACTCTTTTGGTACATTTACGTTTGGTTTAGGTGTCAAATTTGATTCCTGTAATTGCTGACGAATCTCTCGATTGGCATGTAATAATTGCAATAGTTGAGCATGGATGTTATCATTCTTTTGTTCAATATCATCTAGTGCAGAATTTAAGGCATCCAACTGACTATCCAACTGTTCAAATTCTGTAAACTGCCGACTATAAAAAAAGTTAATTATGAACATAACTTTTACCTTCAGGAGTCATATCCTCTTCAAATGTGTCACTATCCTCTTCTTCCGAATTCATTTCTACATCACCATTAATCTGCTGTTCTTCTGCAAATCCATTTTCATTTGGAGGAATTGATTGTTCACCCATGTCTTTAAAATAATTAAATATATATGTATATTCAAATTAGGATAATAGATCATATGATCAAATGTCAAAGTCAAATCCAGGCCAGGGACTGTTCGGTGTTCACTTTCTCTCCCACCCGCTTTAGTACGGGAACGCGTCGGTATTGGCGGTAAGAGCGCTGATGACTCAGATTTTAATGAACAAAATAGAAAATCGTGCAGTTCGGTGCAGTTCAGTTAGTATGAGTCCACCACAGAAAATAACTTAACCTAAATCTATTTTCAATGTGTAGAATGTAGGAAAATGTGCAATATTTAAAATTAAGCTTTTTATGGTATGTTGTACGTGATATGTAGAATTAGAACTGTAAAAATTGTGTTATAATAATTAATATGCTGTGCTATGACTCCGTATCACGATTAAATAATAGCCAGTCGTCTTGTTAAATTTTTTAAATTGTTCACAGTCTAGTTTCAAATCATGATCACGAAATCACAGATAAAAGAAGATATTATGTACACCATTAGTTTTTCCTGAACTAGAAGATATAAAGGGTTGCCTAAATTACAAGAAACATATTTTCATACCATTTTGGATTGTGAAATTCAATTAATGAAATTTCTTCACCCAAGTGTAGGCCCGGTCTGGCCAGATCGGGCAGTCGGCAAAACCCGACTTATTTTGGAAGATAGGCCCCCAAACAACTAACGAGGCGCCAAAAGTATAAGAATTTTTTTTATAAATTCTTGAGATATAGCCACCATAAATTTAAAAGAAAAAAGAATAATGTAAAAATGAAAATTGAATCTTTTATAGAAATGGGATTTTCCCAGGTCAAAGAAATAACACAAATTTTATTATTTTGCCCTATACCCCTATAAACACTGTACCTAAAGGAAAGAAAGAGAGAAATAAATATATATTCCAAACCGTAAGCCCTTTAATCTAATAACTCCTTTATCTATAAGCCGTGGGTTTGGAGGAAAAACGAGATAAATTAATATCTTCCAAACTGTAAGTCTTTTAACCTTATAATAACCTTTTACCCTATAGCCGTATAAGTTATAGTTATGTGCTCAGAAGAAAAAATGAGAATATAAATAATAACCAAGAGCTTTAAAATTTTTTAAAGCCCTCGGACTATGTCCAAACTATTATTGATCTCCTGTATCCTGTATCCTGGGTCGATAGGTTTAAGTTTATTACCTATATTAATATAATTTTATATAATTTTAAAACCAATAATAGTTTGAACATAGTCTATAGAGCTATAGCGTAAATAAAATCTGTGAAAATGGCATGAGTACTGCAGTGATAGGTATACTTATATTCCTACAGATAACGGCTGAGGCCACCCCTTTACTACTACTACTAACTAGCGGCATAGCACTTGAAATGAGCTTTAATTTGAACTGAAATAGATATTCGTAGATTGTACTGGAGCCGGAGAAATGACGATTCAAAGTCACCTATCCCAATAAGTACTGCAAGGGTAAGTATATTAAAAGTATATTTTTAATATTTTAAAGATGGTGCTTGAAATAACTAAAAAGCCTTAATTTGAGCTGCAAATAGATGGGAGAGTTTGCCTTGCAAGCTCGATCCAGATGACAACATGTAAATAGCTTCTGTCATGCCTGCCCCGTTTGACAGAATCGATTTATAAATTAAAATTTGAATGAAATTTTTATTACATAAAAATCGTAAAGTCAAACTTATTTTTGCAAAGGTAATGAAATCACCTTGTAAAGAAACTTGCAGGTATAAATGCAACAAAATAATAAATTTTCTTGTAAGGTGCGTGACACAACAAGAAAAAAAAGCAGGTTACTGTACATAATAAATATTCCAGAAATAATTTCTCTCGCAATTATAAGTTGACAATAATGAGAAACAAATTTGCAAAACGATATTCTTAAATAGTTACGCTTACAATTTCTGAAACAGTTGTAAGCACCATTTTGCAAAAAATTGGTGAAGGTGGTACTGTAGAACGGGACAGAAGAGGAAAACACAACACTAGTCCGCATAAGTATGCTGATGCTCTAATAAAAAACATTATGGAACACATAAAACTTTTTCCACTTATGCCTTCTCATTATACAAGAAGAAACTCAAAATGAATGTATTTGGAAGAAGGTTTGAGTATTTCACGAATGCACAGAATGTATTTAGAATATTGTGCAAAACAACAAAAATGGGATGCAGTAGCTACACTTAGACAATACAGGGATACTCTTAATTCGAAAATTAATATAGCTTTCTTTAAGCCCAAAAAAGATCAGTGTTCTGTGTGTAGTGCCTATAAGAATACAGATCGCAAGAAGAGAACAGAAAAAATGGAAGATGATTGTAATAATCATAATTTAAACAAAATCGCGGTTCGAAATCTGAAAGACATTGATAAAGAATTTCTGAAAAATGATAAATCTCTAATAACAGCATGCTTTGATTTGCAGAAGGTGTTAGTAACGCCCAACTCAGAAGTCAGCGATTTTTATTATAAAGGTAAAATCGCAACATACAATTTTACAATTTATGATTTAGGCAGCAATCAATGCTATTGCTATGTATGGCATGAGCAAATATCGAAGAGAGGACCGGATGAAATTGGAAGTTGTTTATAGATCTTTTTAAAAAGTGTTAAAGAAAATGGCATACGAAAGGTTATTCTTTATTCCGACAATTGCGGTGGTCAAAACCTTAATCGTTTTGTTTTTGTGATGTTTGCTTATGTATCAATGACTTTTGGATTTGGAAATAACAAACCGTTTTCTTGAAATTGGCCACACGCAGAATAAAATTACAGCATGCATGCTGTGATTGAAGTTGTAAAAAAAAGTCACTCTGCTATATACACTCCTGATAGTTCTGATCAGTGGATTAGTCTAAAAAAATGGCCAAAGTTACTGTCCCACAGTACAAAGTAAAATAAATGTCTCAATAAGATTTTGTAACTTTTAAACCAATGGTAAGAAACAAAACTGGAAAAAAGATATTACTGGAGAGGCTGTAAAAATCAGCAAAATCAGAGAAATCCACTGCAATTCAAAGTCTCCCAATAAAGTATTTTTTGTGTATAATTTTGGAGAAAATCATAAAGAACTAGACTTACAAACAAAAAATATACGCAAACGCGAAGAATATCAATTTCCAATATCAAGGTTTGCTGCCAATTGATGATAAAAAATTAAGCGGTCTTTTGGGTCTGTGTAAGGCTAATTTGATACCACCGATGTATCATGGATTTTACAACTCCCTTCGGCCTGCTAGTAAGACTGACCACCAGGAAGAAAGTAATATTGACCAAGAAGATGACTCTGACTGAATCGTAATAAATTTTTCTTTTATGTCATTATTGATTATTAACAATTATTTTTTTTATCTAAAAATAGAAAATGTTTATTTTTTCTGTACCTTATTAGTGTAGCAAGTTGTTTATCAATAAAAATTTTGTCCACGAAAACATGAAACTCATTCAAAATCCATTTATTTCTTATCCTAAACTATTTTATTTAGATCATCAATAATTAAGACCTAAACAATCATTACTTTGTTAAAGAAGAACGATTTAGCTCTTGTAATTAAAAAAATAACGAACATTATTATTTTCTTAACTATTCAAATGCAATTATCTCAGTATAACCAAATTTGAGATACGACAGTTTTCCTTGGGAGAGTCGATATGCACCCTAATAACAGATAAAACCAAATATACCCCGATTTCGATTTTTCCCAACGGCCCCCAAATGAGCCAGACGGCCTGCACGGACTCGAAATTTAATGCTTTAGCTTCATCTAATGATGCAAAAATCCAATATGGTATAGGTATATAAGAAAATCAACTTTAATTTTCGAAGTTACAAAAACAGTTACAAGGATTTAGGAGGCCTGAAAGATATTTTAATCTTCCAACAGATAGAGCATATTGCCTTATACATATACCAATTGTCATTAATCTACTTTCAATAACAAAAAAGATGTGAAATATATAAGAAACATAAAATTTACCAATTTTTAAAGATATTGCAGCAACAGTGCAACCAATTTCTTCTTTTTTTTTTTCATAATCCCACGACATGAAAATATACTACTTTGTAATTTAACAAACCCTATATATCTTCTAGTTAAGGAGATACTAAAGGTAACTATGTAAGCATAGAAAACGGTCCAAGTACCATGCTCAATTATCAAAATATGATATATTTAATTTTCACAAGCCGCCATTGGACAGCTGCAAATATATAGGTTGTCCTAGTTTATTATGAAAAAATTCAGGAAAGGGTAGAATGAGTAATAATAATGCGACTTTGGTTTATAAACTTATTTTGATATACCAACCGCTTCCGAGATACAAGGTGGTGAAGTTAAACACAATATTATATTTATTTTAACACCGACCGTCTCGTAAAAACACTACAAACGATAATTTTGCATTTTTCGTCAGCAAAAGGTAAATTGTGAAGTTCTTAGTGACAGTGCCTCTCAATATCTCTGCAACTGGTCGACGGATTTGTATATTTCATTCACTTTTACTTTTTTTCAATTATATCGTTAGACCAAGTTTTATTAATTCAGAGATTTTGAATAGACGGAGAGATTGGTGTTAAAATCCCCCGTGATCGGACTAATGGCCAATTTTGTTTTTAATGTGTTGGTCGTATGTTGAATAACAGGGTTTCAGAGTTTGCTGACACTACTTGTGGGGCAGGGGTTGGGGGTGCGGGTGTAAATATGAAAATCGCCCTGTGATCAGATTAATGTCAGCAACTCATAAAATATATTCTAGACTTTTGGGGCAGGGGCGTTTAAAACGGGGTAAAATGTACCACTTACCGAGTGCGCAAGCTATGTGCGGGAAATGCTTCGTATATCTCGATTGCTCCTTCCTTATTGTTGTTGTCATCGTTATTATTATTATTATTATAGGCATATAAAATTAAATTTTTTATATTCTGAATTTTTTTTCCGTGATACTTTTTAATATTTTGCAAAATAATTGGGTAAGGTAAATAAAAAGTCAACCTCGTAAGTAAAAAAAAAAAAATATTTCAAATAAAGGTAATGTTGAAAAAATTTATGTTTACAAAAAATTACAGATAGTACGAAGTTTTAAAAAGCAAGTATGTTTTTCCAGTAATTAAAATTATACGACTTCCACCACACCCGCAACCCCTGCCCCACAAGGGGTGTCAGCAAACTCCGAAACCCTGTTATACAATCAACACATTAAAAACAAAATTGGCCATTAGTCCGATCACGGGGGATTTTGACACCAATCTCTCCGTCTATTCAAAATCTCTGAATTAATAAAACTTGGTCTAACGATATAATTGATAAAAAGTAAAAGTGCATTGAATTAAATATACAAATGTGATTTTATTTTAAATTTGACACCCTGTAACTAAGAAGTGGTTGTAATTTTGAAATAAGTTTATATAGTAAAGTCCTATTATTTTTGCAGATTCTACCTTTTCTTAATTTTTTTCAGAATAAAACTGGGACACCCTGTGTATTTTGGCAGTTAAACTATTTTCAAATTTCTTGTGACATCATCAACCTCAAACGTAAAAAAAACATTAATTCATCATCATTCAGTACTTGATTAGTAGATTAGTTTATATGATTTGTAAAAGCATTAAAGCAAATTTTGTAGCATTAAATCTGAATTTATTTGGGAAAATTACAGAGATACATTTATTGTCATCAACATAAAGTTAAAATGGACATTAATAGGATTTCGAATTGATTTAATTTATAGAATTATATAGAATAGATATAAAAACTAGAAATGCACAATTTTATTCGTCGTCTTACAAAAATTAAAATCTTAGTGATGTAACATTAATTCAAATAAAATAAATACAATTTACGTGTGTTCTAAAAACTAGAAAATAGTATTTGTGAAATTATGAATACAACGATTTATATAAATGTAATTTTGGTTCGAGTTTGGTTTACTTGCCATACGTTAAGTTCTTCGTATTCTTCTATGCAACCATCAACTTGATCGGGATTGTATCCTTTGCTTGCACATTTTTCCAAAACATCCGACACTTTGACTGTCTTACTTTCTCCTGCCAACTCTCTAATAATTGCAAATATTTTGTCATGGACATTTGGAGGTCTGAAATGATGACCACTTTTATATATTTTTCAATAAATTTGTATAGGAAAATAAAAATGAAGTACACAATTTACCTATATCCTCTATTTTCAAATGGTTGATTTAATGAGTCTTTACTCATTTCCATAAGGCGAATAGCTTCATTAACATCATCTTTTTCAACTACATTTGACAATCGTAAACGAGCCAAGGCCGTGGAAAGACGCAGAATGCCCAAAAGGTTTCTTGCAGAGGTGAAAGTCATATCTCTAGAATTACGGGCATCTTTTCTTAGCTCAACGTAGGCAGCTGCAAATATAAATAATTGATTGTGAATTGTGAATTAACACAAAATTTTCTTTCAAACTCCAGAAAATTGCTAGACAAATACAGACAGATATATTAAAATTAGTTTATGGTAATGATTATCATTTTAAAATGAACAATCCAATTTTTTTAAATGGCGACTTTCCTTTTCGACCCCAGATATGAAAAGAGCAGAAAATTCTGCATCCAAATATGACATTAACCATAACCTCAAGGTCAATGGTCAAGGTCAGTTCAAGGTCAAATGTTGATTTTTACTGTAATTTTCTATTTTTAACTACGGAATCAGAGTCAATGACAGTCTTTGGGTAGATACCTGATGGTACTCACTAGTGATCTTGACGTCAAGGTCGAAAGAACATGTCAAGGTCATATTGGTTTTTGGACTAGAAATAAGGGAGCGTAGAATTCAACATGCTATTTTGATCTTAAACGCGACCTTAAGGTCAATGGTCAAGGTCAGGTAGAGGTCAAGTGATTATTCCCGCTGTCATTTTTCTGTCAAGTATCTACTCAAAGACTGTCACTCCCTCTGATTCCGTAATTAAAAATAAAAAATAACAGAAAAAATTAATATTTGACCTTGATCACTGACCTTGAGGTCAATGTCAATATCATATTCGGATGCAGAATTATCTGATATTTCCATTTCCAGGGTCAAAAAGGAGGGTTGCCATTAAAAATAACAACTTGATCTTCATATGACCTTGAACTCGAGGTCAAGGTTACCATCGGATGCGCTGTGAAAAATGCCGAGACTTGTCCTCACCATTTATCCCATAAATGCTTTCCAGCTGAGATCTTTGGAGGTTTCCATAATGTTGACTAATACTGTATAATTGTTATCTTTAAAACAGATTTCTAGCTCTTAACTTAGCCCACACAATTAAATTAAGTATCTCACGAAATTATTTAATTATATGTCAGATAACCAATTATGCAGTTTTAAAGTTAATAATTTTTGACAGTTCGTTAACAAAAATCAAGTAACTACCTAATATAATTTCCTGTTTATGACTGATTAACATTTTGATAGTATGATTATTTAAAATAAATCAATAGTGTATTTAGAAATAAATAAACATTTTTTCCCAATGTAAAATACTTTACAAGAACATATAAATTTTAGAAATACAGATTTGAAAATTGCAACTCAATAATTTTATTGTTTCAACTACTCTACTGGTAAATATGAAAATATGTTGCCCGGACATCCAGAGGAAATCCTCCATAATATTCAGACATCTTCAGGATAGCATATATCTGCAATATTCGGACATCCTCAGCATATAGTCCAAACCATATGTCTTTGGGACATATGGTGGAATATTTGGAGGATATTCGGATTTGTAACGTAAGACATCCTTCGATCTTTGGCTAGACATAGCCAGAACCTTACATCCCTGGGACATACCCTGAGGATATCCTAGAACACGTTTATCCTATTGGGAAATACAATGCATATTTAATCTGTTGTAAACTATTTACCATATCTCCCGCCTGGCGCATAAATCCAGTTTATACATAGTGCTTACAAAATGTTTAATAGAACGGCTCCAATAACGAAAAGGTTAAAAATAAGAAATAGAACACTATTTAAGGTGTTACTAACGACCTCTATGTTCTAGATAAAAAAATAAGCTTATACAGGCTGTTACAAATTCACTTCTCACTACATGGATCTCGAAAACGGTAAGAGATACAAACTAGCTTAAATGGGGGCAAAGTTGCGTAATCAGGGAACCAACATATTATGCCTCTAAAAAATCAAGGCTAACATGATTAGTTTTCGAAATATTTGAAAAAAAAACGAAATTTTCAAAATCCGTTTTTATTTCATTTCAGCCTTGTTTGAGGTGATATTGAAAAAAGAAGAACACTTTCTCATGGCCACTTTTTGCCCTCTATCGAATGGCATAATCAATTTTTATATGTAACGTTTCGTCTCTCGAGGACCATCATCAATTTTTTTAAATACAACCCTAGAAATTTTATTACATTTTTTGTAAGCCTTCATGACTGCCAATACTGTACTGCCTCAGCCCGAACCAGATTCAGACGTTTTATCTGGAAAAATTCATCTTCAGTGTATTCGTTCCAAATTTATCTAAATTTTTTATTTAGATTTCTTTGTTTATTGAATTATTGTACACTGTAAGTGTCGTTAGACCGTGTGAAATCCATCTAGTTACTTAAACTATTACCACCACGCACTAAAATAAAAATTTATTAGTTTTATTCCCATGTCCATAGTTATTTCTAGGCTTCTCAAGTGCTCAAAATTCAAACAAATTCCGATCTATTTTTTTCAGGATATTCATACAAATACATCTGACATGCTCTTTCACAGCGGTTACAGATATAATAAATTCTGAAAATATTGCACTGATCTTCATTCAAAATTTCGTTTTTTTTTTCAAATATTTGGAAAATTAATAATGTTAGCCCTGATTTTTTAGAGGTATAATGTTGGTCCCCTGATTACGCAACTTTGTCCCCATTTAAGCTACTTCATACCTCTTACCGTTTCCGAGATTCCTGTAGTGAGAAGCGAATTTGTAACAGCCTGTATATAGAAGTTTCATTGAAATATCTTACGAAGTGGTGAGTTGATGTAATATAAAATTTAACGAAGTAAAATTAAAGAGAATGGCCCATTTATTTTTGAACAGCTTGTATTAGGTTTGTGATAAGAAATCTGATTAGTTGAGAACAGCTGCTCTAGATGAATGCGACAGTTTTGTGAAGTGATAAATTTGCCAGCAACTAAAATTTTAAAAGATAGATGTTTTTTTATAAAGTGATAACTGGAATTTGAAATTTTTATGACTGAAAATGTACTTACAAACTATAAAGTCCGTTAATTCCTCTGGTATTGCTGGGTCTTTCAGTTTACATAAGGCAATATATTTCCTCATGACGTTCATGTCTAAAGCTTCTGTTTGCATAGGAGGTTGCTTGCAATGCTGATGTACATACGTGATATGTTTTGCCAGTCTTAAATCGTTATCCCTATCCGCTTTGTCTTGAATAAGCCACAACAAATCAAAACGTGACAGAAGTGCCGCTGGTAGCTGAATGTTCTGTTCTATAGTCCTCTTTGGATTATAACGCCCGTAGGCAGGATTGGCAGCTGCTAATATCGAAACTCGGGCATTGAGGCACGTCATGATCCCTGCCTAAAAAATAATTTACTTACTCATTAATCTATATCAAATATAGCACTAAACAATTTTCTGTTATAATAAGTACTTAGTGATTTTTACTTTTGCAATGCTGATGGTTTGCTGCTCCATAACTTCATGAATAGCAGTACGATCTACATCAGCCATTTTGTCAAATTCATCAATGCAGCATACACCTTGGTCAGCAAGTACCAAGGCGCCACCCTCTAGCATCATTTCTCCTGTTAGAGGATCTTTCATGACAGACGCAGTTAGACCAACACCCGAAGAACCTCTTCCAGTAGTGTATTGACCTTAAAATATGAAGTACAATCAACACATTCACATTTATTGTTATTTAAATTACTTCTGGGAGCTAGACGATTAATATATCCTAACAACTGAGATTTTGCCACTCCAGGGTCTCCCATCAAGCAGATATTTATATTACCACGAATTTTCATTCCATCTGGTCTACGATCAACCCCACCCACTAACAAAAGTAACAGTGCTTTTTTTACATCTATATGCCCATAGATTTCTGGCGCTAAAGACATGGCCAATTTAGTGTAAAAATCATCTTCTGTCAAAGTTGCAAGTTCCTCTGGTGTAAGAGGATTTTGAGAAATTTCTTCATCAACTTTATTTAGTGAAACAACTCTCTAGAAACATAACATTAAAAAAAATTATTTAAATCAACAAAATAGAAAAATTACTTACGTGGGCTTCTAAATAAGTTTCAGATAATAAACCACCCGAGATCTGTTTGAAACCTTGACGAATAAGCGGCAAAAATACTCCAGTAACAGCAATGTGATCCCCAGGAAGTGCTTGTCTGGTTACTTCTCCTCTACAGAAAATGGTTAATGTACGAGGGATATGACCAACAGGTACTTGATCACTCTAAAAAATTCATAACAATACAGAAAATAAAATTTATTGAAAGCTTGATTTGTATCAATATATATTAGCGCTAACTTACATGTTCTTGTATCTTGATTTCTTGAAACTTAATAAACTTAGATCCCCTCGTCTGTAAGTAGAGTCTTCCACCTGATTTATTGATTCTACAATCATCACTTGGACACATAATAATGGGCATGAAGCTAAGCGATGCAATGGGCTGATACGTCTCTGCACCACATTGATCACAAGTATAAGTAGCAACACACATCATTGGTTTAACTTCAGTACACCTTGTTACAATACCCCGTACAGTAACAAGTTTACCAATATGTTCGGCTTTAACTTCTCTAATCGGTACATTTTTATTGGATGATAAGTCTTTAAAATAGATTTCACTATAAAAATATTAAAACATAATTTTTAAATAAACAACAACAGTTACATAAATTTACTGAATATTTTTTTATGTAACTCAATAAAATAGATATGGTGTCTGAGAACCTAAAGTATACATAATATCTTTTATACATACTATCTCCTCATCAATTCTTGTGGAAATTTATTTCTTGCATCTCTCTGATCATTGGGTTGCCTAATACGATTCTCCATCATTAACCGATGTTCAATATAAACGTCAAGAGCATCCTTTGCTATAACACCCCTCTGAACAAATGATGGTAAAATTTCAAAAACTATATCTGAAAGGAGGTTACTATAACGCCTCGTATTTTTAATAATAGCATTTGCTATTTCGTCGTCGAAATCATTTACATCATCCAATTCTACATACATTGCAATTTGTTCTCTGTGTGCCAGTTTCGACAACTGCTCTGAATATTTGAAACATTTGTTTCCTTGGCTGTCCTGGACACAGTATTCCATTAAGAAGGTTTTTAAATGATCTGCAAAAATTTGATTACATGTATAGAGGTTACATTTATTTATATGAAACTTACCTTTATCTTTATCGTAATCTCGTCTAGCCATTTTATTCTTATACTAATGAAATTTCCGTATACTCAAAGGTAGCAATTTATCAACAGAGCAATAATACAATTCCTTTCAAATTACAGCAAACATAAACTAAACCGCAATTATTGCAAAAGGCGGGAAAACGTACAAATCGTTCGTTCGTAGTATCCCCTTTCCCATTCTATTCGACAAATGACTGCCACTGGCTGTCATCAGTGTCATCCTATTTACATATAAAACTAGCAAGCTTTTGCTACGAACATATAATTTGCAATAAACAGATTATTTTTTCGTGTTCTGAAATTTAAATGTATTTAAAAATTGTACAAATAACACAAATACTAAAGTGTATAAGATAAAAATGTTTTAAGCTAATTCAAATAAATAAAACAAATGTTTTTAAAAATTCAGAGATATGTGATTATGGGAATTAATGAAAGTATGCTCTTAAGTGATCTGAACAAATCCTCTGGCTCTAAAATCATAATAAGCGTTTTCGAAAATTCACTTCGGTACTCATATTACCATTGTTTAAATAATATTTAAACAATGATATTACTATCCATATCTTTGTCATTCTTATGGTTTCAGAGAGGGAGAATGAATGTCCAGATCGCTACGAGTTAATTTTGATAAACCTCTAATAATAACAGAGATAATAATGAAAGAAGCAGTATCTGATCGCTCGGTAAGAATGGTATCGTCATGGCTGATTTTCATCGATTTTGAATAATAATAATAATTATATGAAGCTTGACGTACTTAAATTTTATGAGGTTAAATCGAATTTTTCCCGCCTTTATAGGACAGTTGGAAACCAAGTTGGAGTTGTTTGGATTAGTAATAGTAAATATATTAATATTTATACACCATAGTAGTATTAATCTCTACCTAATCTATGGTAGTATTCATAATAATTAATAATGAGTGAATCACGTAAGTAAATTTCTCCAAAATTTACTAGTAATTTTATGATATAAATATATTGTATCCTCCAATTCCATAGCTGAAGAAAGAAGACCTAAAAGATCTAAAAGAGAAACATCCTATAAAGCAAAAGCCTTTGAGAAATTTAAACAGTTAAAAAGTGGTAATAGAAATAAATATGAAATAGAAGAGTTAGAAAGTGTATATGAAACTGTTGATGAGAAAGAATATGTAAAGAGAGTACTTTCTCGGCAAGATGATGATTGGATTGTTGATGACGGTAAGTATTTCATCTTTTAATCAACTGAAATGTTATATATTATTCTAATTAGATGGTAGTGGTTATGTGGAAGATGGAAGGGATATATTTGATGATGATTTGGATTCTGAATCTATTACTAAGGCCACAATTAAAGGAAAAGGAATTAAAAGAAAGAAAAAGGATATATCTGAAAGTGCCGGAAAGGGAAACTTGCATTTTATGTTATCTAACATGTCTAGTAAAAAAAAAGAGGTAAAGTATTTGTTATGTATATAATTTCATTTTTTAATGTAGGATAGGAGGTGGCTAGTATTTGTATGATACATATAAACAGTATCAATCTTTCTTAGGCAAATGATACAAGTCTCAAATAATCAGTATCAAATGATACGGGATGGTATGCGAGATATGGTTATGAGATGGGTATGGGGTAGGTAGAATTTAATCTCATATCATTTGCCATATACCGGATTTTTAATTGTACTCGTACAAGTGTTTTGACAAATTCTCTTCAAAAATCAAAAATATTTTCATGGTGTAGGAAAACCATTAATGAAAAATAAGAATAAATTAATCCAAAATAAAGTACCTATTACAGTTGTTATATTTGGAAATTTTAACTGTTAATTTTTTAAATTGTTTTTATTCTTTATCTAGAATGGTTGTGCTTATTATTTATTATTTGTATACAAAAATATTCACTCACAAACTCCCTCAGCTTCCACATGACAAAGTTATGTTTGGATAGCCCCTTACATAAGTTCACTATATGTGAGCCTGCCAGTTAAGACACCTTGTCAGATGTGACTCCCAGAGACTTCATACAATCACTATCCCCAGTTCTCCCATTTAAGGCAACATATAAACTATTATTAGGGTCATGAATTGAAAAAGAAATTATATCAATACAATTCCCACCCTCACGAGCCAACTGATCAACACTGTTTGCCCAAAAAGCCACAGTGGAATCATCTGCATAGAGAGAAGCCTGATTTGAATAAAAACAGTTGCCTAGATTGTTTATAAAAATGATAAACAAAATAGGTCCCAAAATGCTACCCTGACGAACACCCAAGGGAACCACTCTGTTGCTCGATGTAGACTGGCCAACAGGACCCTTGACGATAACTTTCTGTTGTCGATTCGATAAATAAGATCTCAACCACTTAAGGGGAGTACCCCTGACCCCATAATGTTCAAGCTTTATCAGAAGTAAGTCATGGTTTACGGTATCAAAAGCCCGCGTTAAATCAAAATAGAAACAAGCCGATCTCTGCTTGGACTCAAAACTTTCCAAAATGTGTTTATAAATTGTCAATAAAGCATCCAACGTTGAGTAACCAGCTCGGAAACCAAACTGGAAATTATTAATCAACTTGTGCTCAAGAAAAACTTTAGATTTTCTGCAAAAGCCTTCTCACATATCTTTGCAAACACCAACACCAAAGAGATACCTCTATAATTCGAAATCTTATTACTTTCCCACTTCTTATAAATAGGGATGATCAAACTCTGTTTTAAAATAGGTGGAAATGAACCCTGTTCAAAACAGCTATTTACAAGTTTAGTAAGAGGTTCCTTTGTGTCATGAACCACATGCTTAGGGATAGAACAAGGAATACCATCAAAACCCCCTGAATCCTTGATAGAAACACTATTTATCACCTCAACCATTTCCTCGTGAGAAAGTGGTAACAGAGTCAAACATTCAGCCACCCTGTCTTAGGAAAAAAGTTAATTGTTAGGATTTACATCCGACTTACGGCTTTCTCGAACAGAGTCTAGAAAAAATTAATTAAAAGCTTCCGCAGCTTGCGCAAAAGGCACAGAATTATTTACATCATCTACAAAAAAGATAGGAACACTAGAGCGTTTATTTAGATTTACATGATCCTTTATCACATTCCAAGCAGCCTTTGATTTATTCTGCGCTAACACGATTGATTCCCTATATTAACTTCTTTTTACCTCTCTAGTAGTTTTTTTGTGAGATTTACTTAATTGTTTGTACAGATCCATATTTCTGTTTGTAGGGCAAAATAAGTACCTTTTATACAAGTCTTTCAACAAACGGCACTGTTCCCGAATCAGAGGGGTTATCCAAGGTTTAGTTTTGGGTCCATTACCCCTCCCAATACGAAACGATTTCAAGGGGAAAGACAAATCAATAATTAATTAATAGATGTTATAAAAATGGTTGCAACTGATTTTTGACCAGCCTTAAATTTTATTCTATTTAATTATCAGATATCTTGTTTTATTCTAACTTATTATTTAGAAGTTTGATTTTATTATAAAATTCAGCTTTCGAGCACTGTATTTTTTTATTCGTATGTCTTGATGAAAAATGGACCTTTTTTCAACCAGAATACTTGAAGTAAAATTTTATACGCACAGCTTGTTAAAACAATATGAGACATGAAAAAGGTTGGTGTGTCTCATAATCAAGGATTAGTTAAACAAGGTTCTACTGATACAATCATTTAAATTAAAATATATTTTAGGATACAAAAATAGATGACGATGCTATGTTGTCAGAAATTTTGGGAGAGTTAGATGAAACTAGTTCATCTCACACTGTAAACTCAAAACCAACCACAAGTTCATATTCTTTTACATCTCGTAAATTGGCTGCTAAAAGCTATATGAAGAACTTTTCCTTGCCGGTCAAAAAACCATCAAGATCAGTTAGTTCAGTTCTAAAAGAAGTTGAGAATAGTCTCACGCCTCAAGAAGACATAAGTGAAAGTAATATACAACTAGAAAATAATGTAACATTAACAACACCGGAATCTACAGACTCAAATAATTCAAACATAAAGGAACCAGCTCCAACCCAAATGAGTGAAGACCTCAATATAGAAACTGATTTAACTCAAGACTTTTTTGATGATGATTTTGACATGACTCAAATTGAAGAATTTGAATCCCAAGAAGTGCAGAATACTACTGTTGATGAATCACAATTTACAGATGAATTACAATCTGAATTTATGAGTGAATGGGAACATTTCGCAAATGAAGTAAATGATTTGGAGAACAACACATTGTTAGACAAAACTGATATACCACTTCTCGATGTTGATGATAAGAAGGTACACATAGGTTACCTCACTGTTCATTTTTTTTAAGTAGTTAATTTTAGGTATTTCGGTTTTTTTGGTGGGATGCTTATGAAGATCCTGAAAAACAGAAGGGAGTAGTTTTTTTATTTGGTAAAACTTATAGTGAAAAAACTAAAAATTATGTAAGTTGTTGTGTTGCTGTCCGCAACATTTATAGAAGACTGTTTCTTCTTCCACGTCCTTATGTAAGTATGTCTGAGGGTTTGGTTTATGTGTTACGTACATTATTTAATAGTATTCAAGTTCTATTCATAAAGGACTTGTTTAGTGTAACATTCAGTTTTCAGTGTTTATTTAACTTATGCTAGGTAATACTAAACTATGCTGATTATAAATATTTGAATTAATTTTGACATATATACAGGGTGTTCCACCTAAGAGGGATTCTTCTGTAACTCTGTAACTGTAAAATAATAAAACAGATTTCGTAGCAGCCTGGAAAACCGGGAATACCGGGAAAAGTCGGAATTAATTATTCTTCATAAAACATAGGGAATTTTAAAAGTATTTATGAAAATCAGGGAATTTGATGTTTACAACCGGAAATTTTGTGAAAACCGACTCTGGGTTCTTGAAAGAGAAAACTATTTGTGGTATTGAAACCTTATAAGAGGTTCTTTAGGTATAAAAAAGATTATGGAGTCCAGTCTAGAAAAAGTGTAATGCATATAGACACCAAATGTGTAAAAGTGATCTGAATTTTTTTTTATGTCCGGGAAAACCTGGAAAAGTCAGGAAATTCTATATTAGTTTTGAACTATGAACCCTGTAAAAGTTGTCTGGAATCTTGTGGGCCATGTAAAGAATTGTTATTTAAATTGAACACCTTGTGTATTATTGCATTTTTGAATTCCTTGGTTAATATTAGGTAGGGTTTATTAAATGTATATGGTGTTTAAAACTTACCATTTTCGAAATATTCAGTTGATTTGAAAGAAATCACTATTTCAGCTCTCTAAATGAGGCTATAGATAGCATCTAAATAAACTGTAAGAATTAGAAACCTGCAGTTTTGACACTTCGTTTTGGCATAAATTACTCTATCTTGTTATCTGTGAGCAAAACATTTACGTTATTCAGACTCGGAAATGCTGAGACCTACATTTAATAATCTTACGAGTTGAAAAAGTTTTTTTTTTTTTCAACCATATTAATTGTCATGGATGAATGCAAAGTTGAATGCCCTTTCGATAGAAGGTTGTTCATACTTATCTCTAATAGTTTTCCAGAAAAATCAGGTTCTTTTCTAAAGTCTGAAAAAGTAGCTATGTAACAGTGCTGCACTGTTTGACATACAGAGCAAATTAAATCTGACTCAAGTTTTGATTAACGTTGACATTGTAGTTATTTTGCTTAGTAAAGAGTAAAAGTTTATTGTAATATTTGGAGCAATTTATTTAAACCTTTTAACAAACACTAGAAGATTTATTAGGCGACATTCCCTTAGCTACAACACTTCGAAGAATGTGGCTGCAACATGATGGTGCTCCACCTGATAATGCCACTGCGGTTCGTCAGTTTTTTCTCGAAACTTTTCCCAACAGATGGTTTGGGCGCGGGAGACCAGTGAGTTGGTCTTCAAGGTGTCCAGATATGACAAGTTGTGACTTCTTTTTATGGGGATTTGTAAAAGGCAAAGTTTACGTTACACCACCAACTACCGTGGAAGATGTGCGCCAGCGCATTAAAGTAGCATTTCAAGAAATTATGCTAGACATGCTGAACAATGTTGAAAAGTCTTAAAATCCGAATTTGTTTGTGATTAATCAAAATGGAGGACTTCGAGCAATTGACGTAAATCAGCGGTCTAAGTATTCTTCTCTTATTGTGTTCTGAGTTTCAGTTTGTTTAGTTTTGCGTTTTGCTTAGTTGTTTAGTGGTTTACTTTTGTTTGTTAAACCACTTTTTAAATATGCCATTAAATATTGACACCATCAGTTCCAAACCTAATAAAATGTGAGGGAAAAGTGGATCTTAGAAAAGAACCTGATTTTTTTTTTTGGAAAACTGTTAGGACAACTTTATATCTATCGAAAGGGCATTGAATTTTGCTTTCACCCATCACAATATGGGTAATTCCATTTGTAAAAAAAAGTTTTTCAACTCGTAAGATTATTAAATGTAGGTGTCAGTATTTCTGAGTCTGAATAACGTACATGTTTTGCTCACAGATGACAAGATAGATGCTATCTAGACTCATTTAGGAACTGAAATCGTGATTTTTTTCAAAAACAATAATATGGAAAAGGGTAAGTTATAAACACCATGTACATTTAATAAACCTAACCTAATATTAACCAAAGCATTCAAAAATGCAATAATACACAGGGTGTTCAATTTAAAATAACAAAGCTATGTAGCGTCCACTCGAAATGGAACACCCTGTAAAGCTAAAAATATTTTCTTTACATGGCCCACATGATTCTAGCCAACTTATTAAAACCATTATTTTATAAATTTTACAGTTACAGAGTTAGAGAAGAATTCCTCTTAGGTGGAACACCTTGTATACTTAAATTTTTTCTCTATGTTAATGAATCACTTTATACTCCGCGGTCGAAATTATAAAGAGTGATTCAGACATAATATAAAAACACTATTACCGTAATGCGTATAAAATATAAAATGATTTTTATACGGTTCAATATTATTTATCTTTGTGCCGCTCGCTACGCACATCGATAGAATCTATAATCGTCTATAGACTGAGTTACACTGAACGTTGATCTATATTCTATCTCTGTCTTTTGCACTTGGTAGGGAATAGGGAAATGATTTTTTAGTTGGGTGTAAACGGACTTGATTTACGAGTCCTGAGAAACATAGCATAAGCGTAGACGAGGTGTCTAATTCCATGGCTATAATAAATTTATAAATTAAAAAAACACAACTGGGATGTTTTAAAATGCTGTAATAATTAAAATGGATCAAAGTGGTGGTTATAGCAAACCCCCCTTACTAGTCCAAAAGCTAGCGATTAATCACTCTCTATAATTTCGGTCGTGGAGTATAGTTGTATTTATAATTATTTTAATACATATAGGAGTTGGGAGCAGATGGAAAACCAACCGATGAACCTGTAACATTCAAGAAACTGTATGATGAAGTTAATGATAATATTCTAAAGCCATTGAACATTTCTAGTTTTAAAACTAGATATGTCAGCAAGAAATATGCATTTAATCCAGAAATTCCTTCTGAATCAGATTACATGGAACTTAGATATCCGGTAAGAATAAATAACCAATAAAAATGTGGTATATTTGAGAAAAAATGTATTCTGGTATTTCAGGCTACCGATCCAAGAATTAATATAAACAACTTAAAACAGAAACCTAAAACATTTTCCAGAATATTTGGTTCCAATACAAGTTACTTAGAAATTCTATTACTAGATAGAAAAATAAAAGGTCCTTGTTGGTTGGACATCAGCAACCCAGTACCTGTTTCGAACCCTATAACTTGGTGTAAATTTGAAGTAAATTGTATGAGGCTTTTGGATCTTAATATTACTTCAATGGACAAACCTTTACCGCCTCCTCCTTTAGTGGTAATGGCTATAAATCTGAGAAGTTTTATCAACCCAAAGACATATACAAATGAGATTCTGATGGTGTCTTGCCTTACCCATACGAAATATGCTGTAGATAAACAAGCTCCAAATCCGCCCTTTCAACAACATTTTTGCGGTAAGATATATTGAATATTTAGGATTAAACTAACATGGTTTTTCGGGTTGTTATTGTAGGTCATCAATCACTAGAGAGCGGACAATGTGTGTCTTTAACCCGAAGAATAGGTCAAATTTTGGTAGAGATGTGTACGCGTTCAAAAATGTATTGTGTATAAACTATGCAGAATGTATAGCAAATATATCGTATTATCCTCGCGAAGATTTGTACCCTTTATTTAAAATCCATAAATCATGTGAACAGGTTAAATAACGAGAAAATAATTAAGTTAATTTAGTTCTAAAAAAATTAAATGACACTCGCGCCCATCTCTAGTCTATCCGTCGACATCGGTTGCGTTTATCCTATTCCTATTGGTCAGAATTCAAAACTGCAGCCCTGTTATGAATGGAGCGTGAGTTGGACTATTCTATCATGTGCATCGCCTGAGGATATTCGTTACATTGACTCCTAATTTCCAATTAAAAGAATGACACTATTTTTAACCGAACTTCATTTAATAAATATGTAGTATACAATTTCTGATTTTCTAAATATTTTATAACGCCTAAAAATGTATGTACCATGGAATTTTCGTGAATTATCATTGTAAATTTCCGATGCATATCCGACACGACACTGCATCATGGATAATGTATCTAGGTTTATGAATGACATATCTATGTTCAAGGTTAAAGACACAAATTGTCCGTTCTCTGTCAATCACCATTTATTACAGACTTACATTGCACTTTCTTAGCTAGGAATCTCCTCGAGTTAGGCTTTGTGAGGACAGACCTGATGTTGATATCGGCTCTTATTCTCTTCACCATAAGACTTGTCGATAGCAGCTTTAGAACCAGTAACAAGATCAGGGCGAGTGTAAAGGGGTGCTCGTCTGCCCGTACAGAGCCTAGCCCGAGCACAACAAGGGCAGGTCAAAGATTCCTAGTTGAGGCTAATGAAATGCAATCTAAGTTTATAACCACTATTAGAAAATAAGTAACTATATTTACTAAAATTTATGTTGTATTTCTAACATGTACAGGATGATACACAATAACATGTTGAAAATTAACTAGCGTATTCCTCATCCAAATTTAACGATATTTTCTTGTACAGTGTCCTGAGATTTGCATGCACTACTTTACTAGACTAGACCATCCCATTTCTGGTGTTCCTTACGTTACCTTTATCTACATGGGTCACCGTTACAGTCAGGTCTTCGTCCTGTTTAAGAACAACATTTTTTACCGTGTGATTTCTGTTTTAAATAGTTAAGAGCAAATCAGTTGTGTTAATGCGGTATACAATATGTGCATACTGTAATACATTATACACCCATAAGGTATATACCAGGGGTCGGCAACTGGCGGACCACGGTCCAGATCCGGACCGCGGAAGGTAAAATAATGGACCGCCAAAAATTTTTTGAAAATATAAATTACTCAAATAAATTATTCAAAAAATGTTTTTAACATTTGAGTGCCAACCTTATCATTTTTTTTAGTATTTTACAATTGTGTGAGTGTTTTGAGTTCTTAATGGTTAGTAAGCAGATTAAATTTGAGTCCAAATTAAAATAAAAAATTTGTAAGAAATATGAATTTTTTTTCTGGACCTCGTTAAAAATTTTCAAAAATATCCGGACCCCACTTAAAATTACTTGCGGACCCCTGGTATACACTGTTCATAAACTTCCACTCGCATTGTTTGTTTCACGTTTTGTTATTATTTGAACATATTTCAAACAGTACAGTATTTCCAGTTGAAAATTAAAGTTGTATGTACATATCTACTGTATGTTTTGTGATGTTCATGGGCGTAGGGGGTTGTGGACGGCTCACCCCAGAAAGCCCGGTGCTTACCCCAGATAAAAAAAGATCCAATAATATCATCTAAGTTGTTTTTTTTTTTAGAATCAAATCAAAACGTGTCTAGGTTTTTGGAATTTTATATCGGTAAGTCGCTGATTGCGTGCTTTTTTTTGTGCCCTCCATAGTACAACTTGCAGTCTTGGGCCCACCCCAAGCAAAAATCCTAGCTACGCCCATGGTGATGCTACGGGTCAATAAAAGTGTTCCTCTGATAATCCCCCCTTTTTTGCGTTCCGACCATGCTCCCGGTTGATTATAATATCATATGCTACAAAAATGTCTGTTTTACACTATAAACCATTTGAATTGATAATAGAATAGAAAGAAAGAAAGAAATGAGTATATTTAGAAATTTTGTGTGAAGATTTATTTAATCTAGAGATAAAATAAATAATAATAAAATAATTTATAGGATTGGGTCATTCCAACAAATATATAAAAAAAAATAACAGAAAAACTAGCTAAGTTCTTAGTTATCACACACTCAGTCATACTCAGAAGTGAAAGCCAGCAACCTGGCTTCTTCATAAATGATAAAAAGTGTTTGACAACCGATTTCTTCAATCTACTTCGCACAAGTGCGCATGGATAGAGATGTCGAAAAAGTATCAATTCGTTACATGAGTACTCGTTACTCGATTGGATCCGAAGTAACGATTACTCGTTTGAAAAAGTATTCGTTACTTTTGCTTATTTGATTACTTCTTGGATATAGACAATATAGAGTACTTTATCTAATGGAATGTGGATACTTCCACTTGACACTTATTCATAATATATCGACACGAGTACTTGTATTATTACGTTGCATTCAATTTTATTTGTTTTGTATACCTTATTTTTATACCTATTTATATTAGAAAAAAAATCTTTCCTATAAAAGACTTAAAACATGCATTATATGTGTATATAATACATAATCTAAAAAATATGTACTTTCTTTTTTTGTTTATTTTAAAACTGATTGTTTATTTTCGAAATATATATTTATATTCGTAATCTGATCGTTGCATTATAATAATTTTTTTTATCAAACAAACCTTAATATTTCAGATATTATCACTGCATTTCTTTTTTAAGACAAATTAGATTATATTCATAATATGATGCGATTTGATATTTACTCGTCTATAACTTACAGTACTGTATATCAATTAGGTAATTACTGATTACTATTCTATTTAGAATATTTTGAAGCCACTACTCATAGTAATCAAAGTAACGAATACAAAGTACCGATCACTTAAACCGAAAGTAATCGGTACTCATGATTATTCAAAAGTAATCATATTTGACATCTCTTTGCATGGATATCAGCCGGCATTTGCTTTTGAATGTGAGAAATGTTATAAAACTACATACCTTGTAATCGGCGGGAGATAGTATTAAAGCTACCATTCTTAAAACACTTCAAAAACAACTAGCTTCTCAGTACTGTCATTTGTTCAATAGATATTTGGAGTATAACTCTTTTTAACATGCTCATCCTGTATCTCAAAAATGAAGGCTTCATAATGCATAAATTTGGATGAGGAAAACAGTGTTTCATTCATAACATGTTATGGTACCCTTTTTATAAGAATTACTTTTACAGTGTTTTCGTGCCCCACCCAACAAGTTTTGCCACTGAATATCCATGAAGCGTTAAAAAATTACAAAGCCACAAAGGTGCAGAAAATGGACTCGGAAAGAGCCCTTATGAATTATTTCATCAGCCAGTTTGTAAAAATTGACCCTGACCTTATTGTTGGCCATGATTTGCAGGGTTACCAAATAAATATTTTAAGTGAACGCCTCTCTAAACAAGACAACAAAAACTTCAGTAAATTGGGTAGATTGAAACGATTCGAAAAGAAAAGATTAGAGAGAACTCTTTTTGTTGGGAGATTAGTCTGTGATATCAAAGTTTCAGCAAAAGAATTGATAAGGTCAAGGTCTTATGACTTAGGTACGCTCTGCCAAGCAGTATTGAAAATTAATGACAACCAGCGAGTTGAGTTAGAACCTGAAGAAATACCAAAGATGTATCAAAAGGCTGAGGATATTTTAAAATTAATTTCATTTACAATGCAGGACACTGCATACATTTTGAAAATAATGTACGACTTAAATGTAATACCGTTAGCACTACAAATTACTAACATTGCTGGTAATGTTATGTCGAGAACATTAATGGGTGGTAGGTCAGAACGGAATGAATTTTTATTACTGCATGCTTTCTCTGAAAAGGACTATATTGTTCCAGACAAGGAATTCAAGAAAAAAGAAACTGACTCCTCTACTTCCAGGAAGAAACCTACTTATTCTGGTGGCTTAGTTTTAGATCCAAAAATAGGTTTTTATGATAAATTAATTTTATTGATGGACTTTAACTCGCTATACCCTAGTATCATACAAGAATATAATATCTGTTTTATTACTTTACCAGTTTCTAACAGTGAAGATAATTTGGTTCTACCTGATCGCAGTTTACCGCCTGGAATTTTACCAACTGAAATTAGAAAATTGGTAGAAAGTAGGAGGCAAGTAAAAAGTTTAATGAACAATCCAGATATATCAAATGATTTGAGGATTCAGTATAATATAAGGCAGATGGCTCTAAAGTTGACTGCAAATAGTATGTATGGCTGTTTGGGATTTTCAAATTCAAGATTTTATGCAAAAAATTTAGCTGCATTGATAACACACAAAGGACGAGAAATCTTAACGAATACGCGGGATTTAGTGAAAAAAATGAATTATGATGTGGTGTACGGCGATACAGATAGCATAATGATAAACACCAATTGTCTGGATTATGATCAAGTGTTTAAAATTGGTTTGAAAATAAAACAAGAAGTTAATAAATTATATAAACAGGTAGAACTTGATATTGACGGTGTGTTTAAATTTTTATTGCTTCTTAAAAAGAAAAAATATGCGGCTATAACACTAACTAAAACAAAAGATGGCAAATTAAAGACAGAAAAAGAATACAAAGGTCTTGATATTGTTAGACGAGATTGGTCGCAATTAGCCTGTGAAACGGGTAAGTACATATTAAACCATATTTTAAGCGACTTATCTCCTGATGACCGTGTAAATAATATTCATACGTATTTGACTAAGATAAAAGAAGACTTGGAACAAAATCAAGTTCCTATTTCTTTGCTAGTTATCACAAAGCAGTTGACCAAAGATCCAAAAATGTATACAGATAAGAACACACTTCCACATGTGCAGGTAGCTCTCAGATATAATCAACATGGTGGACATTTTAGAGCAGGAGATACTGTTCCTTATGTCATTTGTGATGATGGCAGCGGAAAACCTGCCACTCAGAGAGCATATCATGTCGATGAATTGAAGAATTCAGAAACTTTAAAAATTGATGTTCAGTATTATTTGGCACAACAAATTCACCCTGTTGTAACGCGTATTTGTGAGCCTATTGAAGGCACAGATCTTTTTCATATAGCTGAATGTCTGGGTTTAGACATGAAGATGTTTAAAAAGCCAAGGCAAGTATATGAATCGACTGGAGAAAATATTACTAGATCCGAAGTAAAATTCAGGGATGTAGATAAATTTATATTCAAATGCTTGGGATGTAAACAGGAAAATGTTATAGATAAAGCTTTAGTAGGCAATGTTCCATTTATAGAGAAATGCAACAACATTGAATGTAATGTGAGACCCATCGATTACTTACCGTATATCCAGAATCAACTATCGTTGCTAATTCAGAGTTATATTACTAAGTATTATGAAAACAGACTGATATGTGAGGATCCCGCATGCCCAAATGAAACAACCAGAATACCTTTGAAATTTGCCAGGAAGTATCCTGTTTGTACCATGTGCCAAAGTGGAGTTATGTATAGACTTTACTCAGAACAGCAGTTATACACACAACTGACCTATTTCCAGCATATATTTGACCTCAACAAGCTTAGTAAAAGTAAGTAATTTTTTACTACTGTAATAGACCAATCAAAATAACTCATTTAGAGGAAAAAAAAAGAAAAATGTTATAGGACTTTTATAAGTGGAAATGGTAAAGGGGCTTATAATAAACGAAAAAAAAAAATAAATGTGTGGGCAGAGGTGGCGGTTGATTTGGGGGGTTGAAAAGTTGTGAAAAATTGTATCATTGGGATTTTTGGCGAAAGTTGACGTCATACAAAAAAGTATCTAATACAAAAGTTGTAGATCATGCAAAAATCTACAACTTTTCTAGAGGTCACTTTTTAAAACAACCTTAAATTTCCGAGAAAAATGCGAAAAACATGTTTTTTTCTTATTTTTCATTTTTTTATTTCTCATTTCTGCAAAAATAATTTAATTTTGACGAAACTTGGTGATAGTATACCTTTTTGTGTCTTAAATAACCACAATTTTTTTTAGATAAAAAAATCAGGAAGTTTCCGAGGTATTCATTTTTTCCAGTCTGAAACACTTTTTTTTCAAAGAAAAATTCTACTTAGAAAAATCATCGTACAGAGTTCTGCCATTGATCAATTTTTTTGTTTTGACATATACTTTTTGTTGTTAATTGTTGATAATTTGTTTAAATTTAAAAAAAAAATCAAAAACTGATTACACCATTCAATTGTATGGAAAAAATACAAAAAAAATATGTCATTGTTTCACCCAAAACTTTATATTTGTACAGTATTGCTATAAACATCTAAGTTGAATAGTGAATGAATAAAATAAATAATAATTTTTTTTCTAGGATCGATTAGTGTACTTATTTTTTTTAAATTTTGATGAATTCATAGATGTACAGTATGTTCAAGATAACGATGGGTTAGCATTAGGATCTAGGAAACGGTAAGAGATACGGAGTGGGTCAAATTAGAAAAAAGTTTTGGTTTTTTACACCTACAATATGCCATTTAAAATTCCAGGTAGTTCTGGAGATATCCAGAAAAACCCGAAATTTTGCAAAATCGTTTTTTTTCCTGGCTTTATTTGAAAATGAATTTTAAAATAAATTGCATACTTACAATGACACTTTTTTCGCTCTATCCAATGGCTTCCATCCAAGCTAAAAACCTTTTTAAGCTTTAAGCGATTACAATAGTAATATCATCTACTTCAGAATTAAAAATGACTAAATTTAAAATTAAAAAAAATTTACCTGATGTTGGCTTCTCGCAGATGGAACGTCGGATTGCAAAAATGTTGACGCCATTGGATAGAGCGAAAAAAGTGTAAAGTGTAAAAATGCAATTTATTTTAAAATTCGTTTTCAAATAAAGCCAGAAAAAAAAATAAAACGATTTTGCAAAATTTCAGGAATTTTAAAACTTTCTAAACGGCATATTGTTAGGTATAAAAAAAACACAGCTTTTTTCTAATTTAAGTCACTCCGTATCTCTTACCGTTTCCTAGATCCTAATGCTATCCCATCCTTATCTTGGACATACTGTGTATCTATGAATTCATCAAAATTTTTAAAAAACAAGTACACTAATTGATCCTACAGAAAAAAAAATTATGTATTTTATTTATTCACTATTCGACTTAGATGTTTATAGCAATACAGTAAGCGCTTGCTAATCGGACATTCAATAGTCCGACATTTCCAGTAATCGGATGTTTTGAACGCTTTTCTTGTGGGAATGATCAGCTCTATAGTCGGACGGTTTTAATGGGTGAATTTTTCTAAGTAGAATTTTTCTTTGAAAAAAAGTGTTTCACACTGAAAAAATGAATATCTCGGAAACTTCTCGAATTTTTTATCTAAAAAAAATTGTGGTTATTTAAGACACAGAAAGGTATACTTTCACTATACTCGACGGCCAAAATTATAGATAGTGATTCATCGCTAGCTCTTGGACTAGTAAGGAGGATGAAGCGTACCGGGAACGAAAATCCATAGGCGTGTCTGCGTAAAAGGCAACAAGATATAGAAAATATTGAAAAAACATAATAAAACATAACATCTAATATTTTTTACGGTTTGCTATAACCGGCACTTTGATCAATTTTAATTATTACAGCATTTTAAAACGTCCCAGTTGTGTTTTTTAATTTATAAATTTATTATAGCCATGGAATTAGACCCCTCGTCTACGCTTATGCTATGACCTTTCTCAGGTCGGGCAAATCAAGTCCGTTTACACCCACTAAACAAGCATTTCCCTATTCCCTACTAAGGGCAAAAGACAGAGATAAAATATATATTGACGTTCAGTGATAAGAAGAATATTGAACCGTATAAAAATCATTTTATATTTTATACGCATCATGGTAATAGTGTTTTTATATTATGTATTAGTCACTCTTTATAATTTAGGCCGCCGAGTATAAGTTTCGTCAAAATTAAATTATTTTTGCGGAAATGAGAAATAAAAACATAAAATAAGAAAAAAACAGGTTTTTCGCATTTTTCTCAGAAATTTTAAGATTATCTTAAGAAGTGACCTCTACAAAAGTTGTAGGTTTTTGGATGATCTCCGACTTTTGTATTGGATACTTACTTTTATGTTTGATGCCAACTTTCGTCGGAAATCCCAATGATACAATTTTTCACAACTTTTTAACCCCTCAAATTAACCCTCTGCCACTCCTGCTCACGCATTTATTTTTTTTATGTTTATTATAAGCCCTTTACCATTTCCACTTATAAAAGTCCAGGTAACTTTTTTTTTTTCTTCAAGTGTAGTTTGATTGGACTATAAGGTATTAACATTATGTGAAAAGTTTAAAGTTTAATATCTATCTCCAGTATCTAAGTATTGGGTTGGGGAATAAGTTATGTCCATATTTTTTTCAAATTTAAGATATTTTATTTTTAACTTCAATTATCAATAGACTAATCAGGGATGTATGTATTCTCCATCATTATTTATGACCTCCCAATGTTCAACACGATTCTCTATGCCTCTTCTGTAGAAATCCTCTGGTTTTGACATGAAAAATTCATCTAACAAAGCTATTAACTCATTGTCGTTGTTAAATGAAATATCACTTAATGAGTTTGACAAAGAGCGGAATAGGTGAAAATCAGGAGGCACGACATTGGGAGAGTAAGGCGGTGGGGCAGAACTTCCCAATTCAGCTTGTGAATGACCGTTTTGGTCATATTGTCGCGCATTGTATCGCCAATCAGGTTTTTTTTTTTGTTGAATAGCCGCGTGGAGTCGCCGTAGTTGTCAGACAAGAGTTCTGCGTTTACGGTTTGATTGTTTCTTAAGAGTTGTAATAAAGAATCGCTTTCCAATCCCACCAAATAAAAATAAATTTGAAAAAATGGACATGACCTATTTCCCAACCCATTATAAAGATTTATTTATAGGACCCTTATTAGAGCAGCATGTTGAATCTGGTTACCATGCCTTGCGGGAAAACGTAGAAAATTATTTAAATCACTCTGGATATTCAGTAATTAATCTTTCAGAACTCTTTTCTGGTTTTATGATTAGGAATAAACAGCCTGGATCAATGGAGAAAGGCGTGAGAGAAGAGAAAGAGGTAGATATAGAGGAAGTTGATGAAGAGAAGTATGATAGCTGTTAATTTTGTATATTTTCATTTCTGTAATATTTTTAAATCTTCCTAATCATTTTATTTGTTTTAAGTTATGTAAATAAAACAAATATTAAAAAGTAACCGTTTTCTTTTAAAATTTCCATTAACTTTAAGAGGCGACATTGATTTTCAAATGGAGGTCAACGTTGGTGTTTGCACCCTGTTATTTTTGGCCAAAAAAAGAAATATTTTTTTATTATTTATGTCCAATAATTATTGGACATAAATAAGACGTTGTAACTAATCGATTCCACTTCAAACGGGACCTTTCCCCCTCCTTCCTAGTCAGGATCAAGGTCAATTAGAAGTGAGTCCGAATCGAAGGTTAGTTTGTCTGTATTCGGCCCTTTTAAGGTTGTTTCAAGGTCAAATTGAGGAAAAGCCGAGCAATCAAGTCCGACCACGTTATACAGGATTTTTTAAGGTCATTTCAGGGTCAAGTTGAGAAATGCCAAGCACTTAAGTCTAACCGCCTGTTATACACGTATTTGGAGTAGCCGAATTAAAATCTGAGATCAGTTTGTCAGATCATTTGAAAGCCATTTTAAGATCATTTGAAAGTTAATATATGAAATAAACCCTGGAATCAATTGCCGTTCTTATAGTCGCTGAGTCCGAATCCGAAGTCCATTTATATGTATTAATAAAGGTACAAGGTTATTCCAAGGTTGATTTGAGAAAAAGGGCTTCTGGTAGGATTAGTGAGAGACGATATCAGACCCCTATGTTGCTAAAATTGTTGGTACTAAAAATAGATTTTGAAAATAATTCAAGTTTAAACAGAGTTACGCAAGGTTTAGGCAAGTTCATCTGAAGAAACTCATGAGCAGATCTTTTATCTCGAAAACTACTTATTTGACACAAAAATGACCTATACAAATGTTGAAGGATTTCAAATGGGTTCCACATCAGTGATTTCTTGACCTAAAACTTAGGCAATCCTCCTTACCTTCGGTTTACATTAAGCTAATCGACACAAATCAAGTAGAGGAGAACGAAATCGTCGTAATATAAATATTACCTTTGGTTTTAGTGTTATTCAATGTGCACCATGAGGTTTTTTCTTGGTTTGACCTTTAAATGACCTTGAAATAATAACCCTCAAATGAACTGATGCAGACAAACTGACCTTGGATTCGAACTCAGCTCTCCCAAAAACCTATATAACATACGGTTAGACTTAATTGCTAGGTTTTTTCAATTTGACCTTGAGATGACCTTTAATTGACCTATTACAAACAAACTAACCCAGCAACCCCAAAATCCTGTATAACAAATGGTTGGACTTGGTTGCTCGGCTTTTACTCAATTTAACCTTGAAGTGACCTTGAAACAACCTAGACTCGGAGATCCTTTGATTTAATGCACTTTCTCAATCCGACCTCTAATTGACCTTGATCCTGACTAGGTAGGAGGGGGGAGGTCCGGTTTGGGGTGGAATCGATTAGTTATTGGATCTAAATGATACACATTTTTTTTTTCTTTTTTTTGGCCAAAAATGAAGAGGGCCGAAAACCGGCCTAATTGACCCTCCCCCTTTATTTCATGGTTTTGAGTAAACAAAAATGGCTATAGCACGATTTGATTTAATATAGGCATTTTTATTATACAGGGAATTATGAAATATGCCACCATTGCAGCGACATTAGAAAACAAAATTTTTTTCTATGGACTGTGGTTTTGAAGTACATAATTTATTACATTTAAATTTGGTCAGCAGTAACTATGATTTTAAGGATGCTAAATACCAAGGTCACTAAATATAAGTATTAGTTTTTGTAAGCAACAGCTCAGTAAAAACAATACAAAAGTAGTACAATGCCACTGCTATAGACGTTATAAGGTATTTTATATTCTATGTTATAAACTATACTGGACTTGCCCAACTGTCATTTTGCCAATATAAACGGCAATCGCTCAAACGTGTGCGAGAGAAATAGATAGGGCTTATACTTCGTTCACAGAATTTCGACTGTATCACGCTACATTTAATTTAACCAGTCAGCTAGCTATACTCGATCCCTTATGCCTTTTTTTCAGTTGGGCCATATTCAAATACTATAAAAATAATAGAGACTAGAAGATAAAAAATTTTCAACTCCATTAAAAACGTGTATATACAGGGTGTGTCATTTAACACTCCTGCTGTCAATATCTCCGAAATGAAGAAATTTATTTTAGTTCCAGAAACTGGGGTTGTTGTCCCTTGATAACTTCAAATTGCAGTATTTGTTTGAATCTTTCTGTATAGATGGCGTGGTGATACTAAAAAATTTTTTGATTCCTAGAACGTGGAAATGAATCTGAAAGATCGTTAAATTTTGAGTAATTTTTGTAGTATAAAGTTTTCCCAATATTTACTTGTTTTCGAGACATGTCGACTTCAATATGCAATGTATGATGTAACAGGAAAATCTATTATTTTATTTAAATCAAATTGAGTCAAAATATTCTTTTAAAATATTGTTATAATGGCTTTATTCACACCAAATATTAATTAACAAACAATAAATTATAAAAAAAAAACAAATGATCAAATACAGAAAAAAAAAGTACAATGGTAAATCTTTTAACTAGTATAGTTAAATTGAAAGACGCAAGCTGATAAATCTGTAATTATTGAAAAATTATGTGTCATGTGTCATACATGTTTTATTTTAAACAAATGACATGAGCCACATGTAACTGAATTTTTTAATATTTGATAAAATATGGTTCGTCCCTTCTAAGATTTACCATTGTACAATTTTCTTTCTGTATTTAATCATTTGTTTTTTTTAATAATTTATTGTTTGTTAGTTATAATGTGGTGTGAATAAAGCCATTATAACAATATTTTAAAATAATATTTTGTCTATGTGATTTAAATAAAATAATAGATTTTCCTGTTACATCATATATTGCATATTGAAGTCAACATGTCTCAAAAACAAGTAAATATTGGGAAAAATATTACAAAAATTACTTAAAATTTAACGATCTTTCAGGTGGACCATATATCCACGTTCCAGGGATTCAAAAATTTTTTAGTATCGCCACGCCATCTATACGGAAAGATTTGAACTAACAATTCTAACTGTAATTTGAAGCTATTCGAGGGACGTAACAACTCCAGTTTCCGGAACTAAAACAAATTTCTTCATTTGGGAGATATTGGCAGTGGGAGTGTTAAATGGCACACCCTGTAAATATTAATTTTATTAGTTAAAATACAGTTATGGCATTAAGAATTTTGTCAATATTGTTTGTATTAACTCAAACTGAATTAAATTTGATTTCTCTTCTTTTAACAATACATATTTGTAAGGCTGGTCCATTTTCGATGGGATTTCAGGGTATCTCAGAAACTACTAAAGATATGATAAATCTGACACCACGTTCTCGAGCTCGATTTTCATGGCAAACTCGACTGTCAAATCGGAAATTTGCTATCTTCATTTGTTTCTGAGTTACAGGGCGTTTCTCGTTATTGTGACACTTTTTAACATGTCTGTATCTCAGCTGTTAAATAAGTTAGAGTTAAAGTGAAAACTGCTCAAGACTAATTCTTTGGCGTAGAATTGAATGCCGGTATTAGATTTTTAGTAGATCTTAAGATTTCGGAGTTATGACCCAAAGTTATATTTTTTTAAATGGAAATCGTAGCTGACCATGGCCTAAAAAAATAGAGATTTTTTTCCGCTTTTCAGCAATATATCACATGCTATAGTTATTTTTACAAACACGGGAGATACGGGGTGTTTTATATATAAATTATATATTTTTTTCCTTTTTAATATGACCGGCTATGAAAATACAGATAAAACTATAATTCTTACTTTTACAAAAGTCATATCTGTTGTAAAAATATGACATTTATTTTAAATGCACAACATATACTCGTGTGATAATATAATACTAACGAAATTTTAGGAGATAGGTGGATAGGAACAAACGGACCGATCAGATGGCCAGCTAGGTTACCTGATTTGAGTCCGTTGGACTTTTTCCTTTGAGGTTTTCTAAAAGACATTATATTTAAAATTCCTTTTAATAATATTTCAAATACCTATACATTTAATGAATGCTACCCGAAGCGTTGCCAGAAGATGCGTTAAATGTGTGACAGTTGAGGGACGGCAATTTGAACATTTAGCTGTCATTTTTGAAAGTTTTTATTGATGTAGGTACTTACTATTGTTTAATTTACGTTTAATATTGTAACTTCAGTTGAAGTGGAATAAAAATTTGAAAACTCTGTCTTTTCTTATCTGTAATATATATTTTAAATAAACGTCATATTTTTACAACAGATATGAGTTTTGTAAAAGTAAGAATTATAGTTTTGTATGTATTTTCATAGCCAGCCATATTAAAATGTAAAAAAGGATCGAATTTATATATAAAACACCCCGTATCTTCTGTGTTTGGAAAAATAGCTATAGCCTGTGGTATATTGCTGAAAACAAAAAAAAATCTCCATTTTTTTAGGTCATAACCAGCTACGATTTCCATTTAAAAAATTATAACTTTGGGTCATAACTCCGGAATCTTAAGACCTACTAAAAATCTAATACCGGCATTCAATTCTACGCCAAAGAATTAGTCTTGAGCAGTTTTCACTTTAACTCTAACTTATTTAACAGCTGAGATACAGACATGTCCAAAAGTGTCACAATAACGAGAAACGCCCTGTAACTCAGAAACAAATGAAGATAGCAAATTTCTGATTTGACAGTCGAGTTTGCCATGAAAATCGAGCTCGAGAACGTGATGTCAGATTTAACATATATTTAGTAGTTTCTGAGATACCCTGAAATCCCATCGAAAATGGACCAGCCTGTACAAGTAATTTTAATTAATTATTATTAATGAATAATGGCATATGCACTATTTGTTTATATGGAATTTCTGTATAAATTTGAGATATCAAAGGGGGCATGTAATAAATATAAATTTAAAATGAAATATATTTTATTATGCATATTTCAAAAATATTCATAATTACAATTTTGTCCATCACAAGCTACGAAAATTTTTGTAG